AAGGGAGTGATGTCAGAGTTTGTGGACATTTTTAGCACCGCCACAGCATCAGCCCTGGCCAGGTAGTTAGTTAGTTAGTGTCATCCCAATACACCAAGGTGGTGGATTCGATCCCTTATCGGGGAACCAGCAAGAAGCAACCAATGAATGCAGAAAAGTAAGTAGAACAAGTTGGTGTGTATATCTAAGTCAAAAAATAAAGTATTTTTAAATTTGATTTTTAGAGGGAGGGAGAAAGGGAAAGAAACACTGATGTGTCAGAGAAGCACAGGGAAGTATTGATCTGCTCTCTCACACCCCCAACAGGGGACCAGGAACTGGGACCCAGGCACCCACCACGACATGAAATCCAACAAGTGACATTTGCATTTGCAGGACAATGCCCAACCCCCTACGCCACACCAGCTAGAGAGGAAAATAAACCACCACAGCTGTATTGCCACATCTATATGTATATACAAGACAACATCGGTGTTTTGATCTTCCAAATGTTTTTAAGATAAGCCTTCATTCATTTGCAGGCAGATTTCAAGGCATTATTCCCCCTAGATAGCATCACTTCCTTGCATCACCACCATATATACATATATAGCCTTTCAAAAATGTTTCAAGGCTTAAGAAAGTTAGAAATGTAGGGTAGGATCATGAGTGAAAGTGGCAGTTTGGTTTGTTTAAATATAGGATAATCAGGCAAGTCACTGTATTAGTCAACTTTTGGTTAGAATAATTTAAGCACCTTAGAGTTAATGTTTTATTTGCCTTATTCAGGTCAGAAACATTGGGAAATGTGAGTATATCAGAGGGAAATTTTTTGTTAGAGACGATAATCTGTATCTATGATTCCAATGTGGTAGCTACCAGCCACATGTGGCTAGTGAACATTTGAAATAAGGCTAGTACAACCAAGAATCAGAACTGTTTTTTAAATTTTAAAACGTAGGCAGTGTTAAATATTTTTCTGTTAAACAAAACTTTGTTTTAAGAGGGCTACTTTAACTTTTGAAAATTTAGTGTCTGAGTTGGAGATGAACTGCTAATGTAAACCACCAAATAGCAAAGATCCAGTACCCCCAAAAAAGGAATGTAGGATATTTCACTAAGTACTTATTTTGATTACATATGAATACTTTTATATACTGAGTTAAATTAATATTTGATAGATAAAATATATTTAAATTTTATCCTTAATGTTGCTACTATAAAATTTTTCATTGCATATATTGGCGCACATCAATATTCAGATTTCGAGTGGGCAGAGGACATAGGTCATACAACAAAAGGAAAAATAAGTTTAAAAAAGTATTCAGGCTTACTATTACTGTTTGGGGGGCTTTTTTTAAAGATTAAAACAAAATGTGATTACTCTCTAGGATCATTTAGGCGGGAAAATGTATATTCAGTGCCCAAAACGGACATAGGTCTCTGACCTCAGGGAACCTACAGTCTAGCTTAAAAACTGATCAAAAGCAGTAATAACATTTAAGTTATTGGAAGTACTGGCTGTTACAGGGTACATCTAACCTGGTCAGAGTGGTCAGAAAAGGCTGCTTTGAGGCATCGGAGCTAAAATCTGAAGGGGCAGACACTGTACCAGCAAAGAGAAGGTGACGAAAGTATTACAAGTATGCAGGCCAAGAGCATGGCCAAGTTTGAGAAACTAAGCAGTTGAGTATGCCTGGAACATGGAATGGAGTGGGCTGCAGCAGTTAGATGAATCTGAAAGGGTGTACAGAGGTCAGGGTGAGGGTTGCAAGCAGTGATGGGTGGGCTTTACAGCCATGTTAAAATGTTTGGACCGTTTCCAAGGGCAAACTTGAAGCCATTGATGGATTGTGAGTTTGAGGGAATGGGATCTTGATAAAGCTCCTTTGAGTTGATGGGAAAGAACAAATTAGCAGAATATCAGTCCCACTGATCATATAGTTACAAAGATTAAGGATGGGTTAGTGAGCATTGGAGACATTTCTGACCAGAGAAGCAAGTACAGGAGGCATAACTGATAATTTTCCCAGTTTTTCTTACCATGATTGGCTGGTGGCATTGCCTTAAAACCCCCCAATTTTTATTGGCTTAAAGACATCTCTTGTTTGCTAAATACTCATCAATGGTTGGCCTAAGCTGATACAGCAGTCGCTGGAATATTGCCAGCCATGTGGCAAAGCCAAGAAGACAGTGTAATGAAAAGGGCACTGGATTTTAAAACTCACCTGAAATTGACACACGATTTCTGTTTACATTTTACTGCAGGTATAAAATGATAGTGTCATGTCCAACTTCACCTGGGCAGGGAACTGCAGTCCTACCTTTTGCACAGGAAAATCAAAATATTTATGAATAGCTCTAATGATTAGAGCTATGGCCACCCCCCTTTTCTCCTCTGTGTCTGGGGGTGGGGTAAAAAAATCTGTGTTTTAATGTGTATCCTATCCATGGATGCAGTTACCTTTTACTTTCAAAGTGTTTTTTTTTTTTTACCCTGACAAATGCAACCAATAGTAACCATAGTACTAAGATTCTATTTTCTAAGCTTTTTCACCTAGGACTTCAAACTTATACATTCCTGCCTTCTAAGTTATCATGTGACAGTTTTGTTTTAAATCCTCAGCCAGACACAAGCTTATTGAGGGAAACAGAGAGGGTGAGAGGCAGGGAGAAAGAAATACCGGATTGGTGCCCCAACCAGGAACCAAACCTGCAACCCAGGCAGGTACGTGCCTGGGAACTGAACCTGAGACCTTGTGGTTTATGGAATGATGCTCTGAGTCACACATGCTAGGGCACATGTGAGCTTTCACAGAAGTATTAGCAACCTCCCAACCTTCAATGTTCCCCCAGGCTCTTTCCTGAGTGACATCACCCTCTCTCAGCTACCCAAACTGGAAACTTGTGTTTTGATTCTTGATTCCTTTTCTCCCTCATACCCTATACCCAACCTGTAGATTCTGCCAATGAACTCCATCATTTCTGTCACTGTTAGAATTTTTAAAAATTTGTTACTAAGTATTTACCTGTAAGTCAGACACTCCTATAAGTGCAGTCCTCCTAACACATCTTTGAGGTATAATCATTTTATTTTTTTAAAGACTTTATTTATTTTTAGAGAGAAGTGAAGGGAGAGAAACATTGGTGTGCAAGAGAAACATAAATTGGCTGCCTTTTACACACTCCCTGCTGGGGACTTGGCCTGAAACCCAGGCATGTGTCCCGACTGGGAATAGAACCAGTGACCTTTCAGTTTGCTGGCACTCAACCCACTGAGCCACACCAGCCAGGGCTGAGGTATGATCATTTTACAGAGGAAACAAAAGCATGGAGTGAAGCATTTTGCTCAAGGTACAAAACTATTAAATGGCAGAACTGAGATTCAAATTCCTAATCCATGTGCTTAACCACTATCTGACCTGAGCCTGTCCATCTTTTTTTTTTTGGCTTAGACTGCCTCGATGACTGCCTGTGCTCTCCAAATACACTCTTATCAGTCCACCAGCACCGAGTTCAATATTTCTGAACATCCCCACCCTCCATCTGGAGGAGGGACTCTGACATTCTCCCAAATTGGCCTACTTCCCTGAGGTACTTCCTGCTTCTACTCTGGTATCAACCTTTGGCTTATGGCCTCCTCCCAGAGCACCACCCCAAAGTTGTCATTTGACTCCTGACAAAAACCTGGGTGGGTCACAAGCCAAAGGTTTGGGGATAGTATAATGAGCAAAGATAACCGTTTGTTGACTAACATTGTTCACAGAAACCTACCTGCCTGTTAACCCAACAGGGGTCTCTTCATCCTTGTTCTTCCTGTTTCTTGAGTTTTCCAAACTAAAAATCCTTCTAACATAGAGTGTGTGGCTCTTTCTCTTTGTCTCTTTCCTTTGCCATCCCACCCCACTTTGTTTACCAGAAATAAGTTTCTACAAATGTTTTTTGAATAGAAGAACAATTCCTTGTCCGATTGGATTTGAGTTCAATTCAGACTAAAATTACTCCTAAACAATCTTACAGGTTTCTTTCCCCCCAGGTCTTCTTACCACACCATGTAAGCCAAGCTACCCAACTAACTTTTCCTAAACGCAAAAACCCTACTAAATACCTTCAAGGGGCAATGCAAAAGAAAGAACTTGGGGTTCTACCACCTAGAACCACAAGACCTCTTTAACCTGTCTGCCTCATTTTTTCGCCTGTAAATGAGATATAGGCTTACGTCTCACAGAGGCTGTAAAGGCTTAAGTCCAAAAAAGACCTGGTTGCCTTTTATGTTTGGCCTGGGCCAAAAGCTCAGACTGAACAGGTTAAAGGAGTCCCCTCTCTGACTTATAGATGGAGAAATTGATGCACAAAGAGCACTAGAGGTTTGGTCTAAACCACACAGTGTTGGCAGCAAAGCTAGTTCTGGCTTGAGTCTGAGCTACAGCCGGTGACCTCGGGTCCCGGCCCCCAGGGTAGGGGAGTTGGAGAAGAATTGCGCGCGTCTACTCGTGGTCAGCCGGGAGGGCCAGACTAGCTCCTCCCCCTTCTATCTATTCCTCTACCCCAATTCCCGCGCCGCCCCCCCCCCCCGCCCCACCTACACAGACATGGAGCACACTCCGCCCTCGCTTTTAGTTCTAACCGAGCCCCAGGAGCGGCCGGGTAGGGAAGGAGCCATGCCTGGACAAATAGAGGCAGCTGCAGCCGGCGTCAGTCTCGGCCCAAACGGGGGATGGGTGTGCGCCCGCGTTCCCCGGGGCTCCGGGACTCCGTGTCCTCCCACCCTGCTGCGCCTTTGGAACTCGCCCTTTGCTCCCATTTGAACGTGTGGGACGTGCGTGTAGACGGCAGATGGGGGTTGTATAACCACGTCACATGTTGTGTTGCGTAGTGGACACATCTCTGTTTAGATGTGCGAAACATGTACGGCGGTGTGCAGATGTGGAGATTACCGGAGTACAGGAATTCTCACCCCGGCTTTTCCGTAGAATACTGCCAGGCCTTCGCCTGCCTTCTCCCGAACTCACAGCAGCCTGATCCGCAGTTTGCGTGTGCGCGACTCCGCCTTCGGCTCCTCCCCTGCGACTGAAATCCCGCCTTCGTCCCCGCCCTCGCCACGCTTTACGGCCCGGCACGCCACTTTTGCCGCAGACGCTGCCGCTGCTGTCGCTACCCTTAGTCTCGCGGCAGCTGCTGGTAAGGTGAGGTGTAGGGAGCTTAGGTGTGGTGTCGGACTGGCGCTTCTGGCAATCGGGGAGGAGTTGGGGGGGCAAGACCCCCGAGGGACGGCGGAGACGACGGGTCAGCTGCTGCTTTGTCTCCCCAGCTCCGGTCCCGTCCACGCTGCCGCAGGGAGGCCGCCCGGGCCCGGCGAGCCGAACCAATGCTGGATCTGGAGGTGGTCCCCGAACGCTCTCTAGGGAACGAGCAATGGGAGTTCACGCTGGGTAAGTGTGGGGTCCCCCTCAGGACCCTACTCGCCGGTCTCTACTTCCCTCCGGGCCCTTCCCGCCTCTGGCCTCTGACCCCTCACTCTCCTGCGCTCACGGCTCCTCGCCTCTTCCGTCCTCCTGGCTTTTTGGGCTCCGGGCACTCGGTACCGGCTCCCGCTGGCCGGACCCGCCAGTCTCTCTCTCAGCCGGGCCCTGACGCACCTGCTTCAGGTGTCAACAGGGCCTGACCCCGGGGGGGGGGGGTGGCACGGTAGTAATAATAATGACAGACACGCCTCGAACACTTCGGGCCGAGCGTGGCTCTCTGGCACGTAATTATCCCTAGACGGCTTTCTTGGGTTTTAAGGGTGGGGTAGTATTGTTATTGTATTCTCGTTCTACAGATAATAGAGCTGAGAAGTGACTAAAGCTCTCTCAAACGCCACAGCAGTCTCTCTTTCTGCTGTTCCGGGCTGTGGGTTGTCTCTTCGGAACGGGAAACCTAGGCTCCCGTCCCTTAGTGACATGTTGGGCATCTGGTCAGAGGAGTTGAGGAGAGGCTTGTATGTTAAAGGAACTTCTGACTTGTTTCCTTCTCTTTTTTAATGTGGTCGATGCGTGGCGTAATCCTAAACCCAGACCTTAGCTGAGAATGAAATAGGAGTTCAGGGAAAGTAACATTTAGTTTGTAGAAAGTGCAGTCTGGTAGTTTTTTGTTTTGTGGGGCCCAGTTTTCCTCATCCCCAATGTCACTACCTCTCTGTGTACAAATATGTGCATTCAGTAACCCCAGTGTGTGTTTCCAGTACTAGGAAAGGGGGTTGGGGAGCTAGTGTTAGTGTTGTTTGTTTGTGCAGGCCTGAACTTTTGTCACACTAAATTGGGCTACTGGACTGAGTCATCTGCTCAATTGGGCTATAATTTATCTTTGAATCAGGAAGACTCATACCTATGGAGAAAGGGTAGGTGAGAAACTGGGTGGGACAGATAGTTGGTTGGGTCCTGCAAGTGATCAGTTGAACTACAAACTTCCCCTGGGTTGTAGGAGCGACTCTCACAAGTTTACACCACTCCTGCACAGTTGTTCCTAAACTTTTAGCTGGTGTGTAACACCCCAGTCTCTTGTGAAGCAACAAGAGCTTGATTTGGGAGGCTAGTGATATCTTTGCCTGCAGACCCATTCCTCATGCTGGTGCTGTTTGGCTTCTAGTTCGGAAAGAACTTCCCCACCCACAGCTTCTGCTCATACCAGGACTTAACAGGGCAGAATGAGAACCACAACCATAGCTTCAAAGTGTGCTTGATGTTGCGACTAAGTTATGGGACAGACCGCTTGGCCAAAAGTAGTGATTAGGATGTCAGTTGAGACCAAGAGTTCCAAAAAAACTAGGTGGGAGAGAAGGGCTGCTTCTGTGTACTGTTTTGATAATGTTACTCCCGCTTCTGACTTTTGCCAGTTTCCAGGAGTCAAGGGTTTGGGTAGTTCTTTCAAACTGTCTAAATACAACCAAAAACAGTGAAAAGAGCTTTTCTGTACAATGGGTCCAGATTTGAACTTTGGGGAAAAGCTCATAAAGGGGGACCTGAGCCTTGATGTTTCCTTTGTGGGTCTTAAAAATCCACATTTTAGCCCTGGCTACTAGTGTGGCTCAGTGGATTGAGTGCTGCCCTGTGAACCAAAGGGTCGCTGATTCAATTCCCAGTCAGGGCACATGCCTGGGTTGTGGGTCAGGGCCACAGTAGGGGGCATGAGAGAGGCAACCACAAATTGATGTTTCCCTCTTTCTCCCTCCCTTCCCCTCTGTCTAAAAATAAATAAATAAAGCCTTTAAAAAATCCACATTTTAGAATCCTGTTTGCTTAAGAGATGGTAGTCATTTAACTTCCCCAGGCTTAATTTTTTTTTTTTTCCTCTTAATCTTCTCCCTAGTCCTCACATATCTAAACTACAATTGGGGCTGATAGGTAGGGCTAGGTCTAAGAAGTGGATCTGTGCTTTAGAATTATATTCCTAGGCTAGAAAACCAGGTTAAGTCACCACAACCAGTATAACATAATCTCCGTTTGCCAGATGAGACTCAGAATGGCAGAAATGATAAAAAGTAGTGGAGAGGGATTTCTTGCTTCCCACTGCTCTACCCTTCAGAGGATGGGCTCAGTTTTATCTCCAGGTTTCTTTTTGGAATCTGTGCTAATGCAAATGTATCTAGATCTTGCCATCATCTGCCTGACATCATAATGGGAAGCTGCATGCAACTTCTTGGCTGCTTTCCTGGCCTTTGTTTGATGGTGGGAGATTAGAGAAATGCCAGCAACACAGCAACCTAGGCCAAAAGGAATCTCTGAGAATACCACTGATGGCTTAATCAGTGGTGGAGTGCAAATCAGTGCAAATTTAAAATGTTTTCAATGACATTTGCAAGATGCACTGGTGTGGAGACATGTCTCTGAATTTTCTTCCCTTAAATTAGTGTTGAATGCCTAAAGAGGGTAGATTTAAAGGATCATGGGAGAATAGTACTCTTCTGAGATTACCTTGTTTCAGAGAGACCAAAAGCTCACTTTACTGAAGGCAGCATGTATCTCTGTGGACTTGCTTACCAACAATGATAAGTGAATAGTCAGTCATTCCCTGAAGAGCTTAGTAGGAAGGAAGGATTACGGTAATGAGGTAGAGGTTGTATAGGGTGCTATGGAAGGGGAGAAGGAACTTGACCTAGGGGATTCAGGGAAGGCTTCTTATCAGTCCACAGGGGCCAGTACCATTCCTGGAACTAGTGAACACCAGGAAGGCCCTATCAAAAGGCTACTGCCAGATTTTTTTGTCCAAACTCTTTTTATCTAGTTAAAAACCAAAACAACGGGAAGGAAAGATGGTCTGTAGGAAACCGTAAACAATTGGGTATTATAATTAAAGCATGATGTACTAATGGAAGAAGAAAACAGGTTCCCTGGATTCCCAGTTCTCTTCTGTAGTGGCTGCCGAGGACACTATCAAGGAGTCTCTGGGTTCACTGAAAGAAAGGATATCTACTAGTCAAGTGTGTTATAGGCATAGGTTTAGGAAGAAAGTTTGGAGACTACTAGATTTGGAGAGATGGGGAGGGTGGGGGAATCTAGCTAGAGGTTTCTGGCTTGAGTGACTGGGAAGATGTTAGAGGTCAGAATACAGAGAAGCTAGATTGAAGAGAGTAGTGAATAACACACCTACTGTTTTTGGATTGCCTGGAACTTTATTTTAAATTGTCTCTTTGTATGTGTCTTGTTTGAAATATAATGGACTCTGAAAACATACTTTTTGGTGTTGTCTGTGAGTTCCTGGAACTTTTGAGAGGCTGTTAAGATTTAGATTTTTTACACAGGCATATATAAATCTATTTATAATGGGCCATGGGTTCAAAAACCAAGCGTTAAGATATAGAAGATATTTATGAGTAGATAAGTAAGGATAAGTAGATAAGTTGGTGAAAAATCCTTGGTAAAATAAGCTGATTCTGGTAGATGTGTGATTTTTAACTCTTTTAATGAGCCCTTACAAGTCATGTGTTTCTGCAGATTCTCATTTGAGTGATGAGGAGACAGATGCTACAAGGGAAGAGAGGAAGGAACTATCCTAGGATATATGTAATCCGAGGCAGAGTGTGAACCAGAACTTTATCTCTAGAGTCATGCAGTCAGTGCTTTTCTCATTCTGTGTTTTGGTTCATGCTGACTTTGCCATTTCAAAGTTCTTTGCCTACTTAGGGACAGCATGAAAGTCCCCATTTTCAGAAACTTTTTTGTGTATTAACTCCCTTCCTTTATACAATTTAGCTGTAAAGTGATTGCTGCTGACGTTCTGGCTCTTACTGCTTATTGAACTTTGATTTACTCTTATGTTTGTAGACCTTCCTGAACCCCCTATCCCCAGCCCAGGCTTTACTGCAAGGACTGGTGCTAGCACAGTGATAGATATTGGTAAATGGACAGCCCAGGTAACCCATACAGACACCCTTGCTTTATTTCAGGAATGCCTCTGGCTCAAGCGGTAGCCATTCTTCAGAAGCACTGTCGAATCATCAAAAATGTCCAGGTTCTCTACAGTGAACAGGTGAGTGGTAGCCGAAATAGCATCCCTAATCAGTGAGTCACTTCCAGAAGTTGATGATCTGGGAGAGGCTGACTGGCATGAATTGTTGGATCAATGTGTTTGAATGGGAGAATTTTCAGGACTAGTCAGTTACTGAGCACTTTTTTTTTTTTTTTAAATTCTGAAGCTTTTGGTCATGATCTGGTGCTGCCGGGCTGGGTTTTGAAGAGCAGTAATAACTGAACTTGGTTTTTGTATTTTTTTAAAGTGTTTGACTTACACACTGACCCTTTGACAAGGACTTTTAAGTGGGAGGTCACCTCAGAGACTATTGAGTCTTCTAGGGTGCTTACTTTCCATTTTTGAGTTTAAAATACTCTGCTTTGTTGGTTGCTTGGGTTTATGTTCAGGATTGTTGTAGTGCAGATCTAGCTAGGAGAACATCTGGTGCTTGAAGTGGGTATACCTTATCCCTTTAGTGAGGATGATCTGATACAGAGAAATTGGAAAATATTGGCTCCCAATTAATGGACATATTTTATTCTTTTTATTCTTGTCTAACTCATAGCAGTCTCTATTAGCTGTTGGTCAGTTGTGCCAGGAATTAACTACTGTAGTATAATATTTCATGTACCTGCAAAGACCTTTTCAGTTTCCAGCAGACAGACCTTCCTGGACATCAGAATTTTTAAAATAATATTTGGTTTTTTAAGTACATAAAGTTAGAAACTATTTTTCGTAGGCCTTTAGAAATATGATTCTTCTATCTCTCTAAAATTGCATCTCTAGTCCACTGAATTTTCTGAAACCTGTGCTTCTTCTATGACACAGACCCCATGCAGCCATGTAGAATGACCTTTGTCGTATTGTGTGTGTCACAGACCTTAGGGAATAGTTTTGAGCTGACACCGGCTGCAGACTATCCTCTAGTGGCTTTTCTGAGACCATTTAAGTACCAGTTAAATGATTTTAACAGTTAGTTTCAGATCCTAAAGCAAATGACAGATTATTTTTGACATGTAGGATTAGAAGTGGGTAAGACTTCTGTGTGCCTCCCCAGTTTCTTCTTTTTTTAAAAAAAGACTTTATGTGTTTATTTTTAGAAAGAGGGGAAGGGAAGGAGAAAGAGAGGAAGAAAAACATCAGTGTGTGGTTGCTTCTCGTGTGACCCCCTACTGGGAACCTGGCCTGCAACCCAGGCATGTGTCCTGACTGAGAATTGAACCAGTGAACCTTTGGTTCTCAGTCCAGTGCTCGATCCACTGAGCTACACTAGCCAGGGCAGCCTCCCCAGTTTTAGTGTCAGAGTTGAGCCTATTACTTATATTTAGAAACTATATTTATACTGTTCCCTTCTGCACCTTCAGGCAAGTGCTTGCACATTCTTTTACCTACCACAAAACAAAGGATCTGTAGTAGCAGACAGGGTCTTCTTGAGCCACAGAGCCAAAATGACCTGAAAGTGAAAGATGGTAGTTTTTTCTCTTTGTTGCACTCAGATCATTTGTAACCTAATCTGACTCTCAGTGTTGGACCATGACAGAATTACTCATGACAAGTAGTAGCCATCAAAACAGGAAGCAGATTGAGAAGATGGGCTTGCTTCTTGAGCTTGTAGGTAACTTGCAGACTGAGTTAAATCAGATTTGGGCACCCCAAGATTAGACACATTTGATAATAGGCTTTAAATATTCTTTTTTTAATTTTTATTTTATTAATTATGCCATTACAGTTGTTCTATTCCCCCCTTCATTCCCCTCCACCCCCCCACCCCCACCATTCCCCCCCTTTAGTTTCTGACCATGTGTCTCAAGTTCTTTAGATTCTATATTTCCCATACTATTCTTGCCCTCCCCCTATCTATTTTCTACCTACCATCTATGCTACTTATTTTCTGTACCTTCTCCCCCCTTCTCCTCCTCCCACTCCCCTGTTGCTAACCCTCCATGAGATCTTCATTTCTGTGGTTCTGCTCCTGATCTAACTGTCCTTTTAGTTTGCTTTTGTTTTAGATGTGGTTGTTAATAACTGTGAGTTTGCTATCCTTTTACTGTTTATCTTTTCTATCTTCTTTATCTTAGATAAGGGCTTGGTGATGCTGAACTCCTTGAATTTATCTTCTCTGAGAAGCACTTTATCTGTCCTTCCATTCTAAATGAAAGTTTTGCTGGATAGAGTAATCTTGGTTGTAGGTCTTTGGATTTCATGACTTGGAATACCTCTTTCCAGCCCCTTCTTGCCTGTAAGGTCTGTTTTGAGAAATCAGCTGACAGTCTGATAGGAACTCCTTTGTAGGTGACTGTCCCCTTATCTCTTGCTGCTTCTAGGATTCTCTCCTTCATTTTAATCTTGGCCAATGTAATTATGATGTGCCTTGGTGTGTTCCTCCTCGGGTCCAACTTCTTTTGGGACTCTCTGAGCTTCCTGGATTTCCTGGAAGTCTATTTCCTTTGCCAGATTGGGGAAATTCTCCTTTATTATTTGTTCAAATAAGTTTTCCACTGGTGGCTGTTCCTTTCCCCCTTCTGGTACCCCTATAATTCGGATGTTGGAGCGTTTAAAGATGTCCTGGAGGTTCCTAAGCCTCTCCTTATTTTTTTGAATTCTTGTTTCTTCATATTTTCCTGTTTGGTCATTTTTTCCTTCTTTCTGGTCCACTCCATTGATTTGAGACCCAGTTTCCTTTTCATCACTATTGGTTTCCTGTGCATTTCCCTTCATTTCAATTAGTTTAGCCTTCATATGTTCCTCTAATTTGTGACTAAAACCCACCAGTTCTGTGAGCATCCTGATCACCAGTGTTTTGAACTGTGCATCTGAAAGTTTTGCTATTTCTTCGTTGCTTAGAGTTATGGGCTCTAGGGCTTTGAGATCTTCTTGAGCCATTTTTGGTCTGTTCGCGCCATTTAAGTATGAGGAGCGGAGCCTTAGGAGCGGGGCGGGGCCACCAGGGCCAGGGCGCCAGTTTGTGATGCTGTCTGTGGGGGCGGGGTCAGAGTGGGGAAATGGCAGCCCTCTCTGCTACCTTCTGCTGCTGGGGCCCACTGGGTCCTGTCTCACTGCCCACTCCCTCGCCGGTCTATCTGCTCAGAAATGAGCCACCACAGTCAATGTGCTGCCCTGCGCCCTCGCCAGAGCCGCGGGTCGCTCACTGGGTGGCTCACTAGGTCAGCCCTTTGCAACCCCACGCCTGGGATCTGCGCGCACCTGAGTCCATCCGACTGAGTTTTTCTGTGCAACCCCACTCCGCCAGCTGCTGGTTTCGCCCCTCTTACTGGTCAGGCTGAAGCATTCGTTGTTATCAGACTTCCAAAAAGTTCAATTTTCTGTGTTCTGGTTGTGTTTTCTGTTGCTAATATTTTGTCTCTAAACTTGGTTGTGTGAGAAAGCACGGCGTCTCCACCTATGCCTCCATCTTGGCGGAAGTCCTAAATATTCTTAACCAATTGTTAAGAATGTGGGTATTTTGCATGTATTTTTTTTAAAATCATTGTCTTTGTTGTCTGTCATTTCAGTTTTGGAGTACAAAGAGTTTTGGCATTAAACTAATTTTCCTGAATATCTTCTAAGCAACTAGAATCAGCTAGAAAACATAAGTTTACTAATTAGCCTGGTTCTCCTTCTGTGAAATGGATGTAGTTCCCTTATTATCTTTTGATAAGGTTTAAGAGGAGATGGTCTCTCAGAACCTGATACAGTGCTTCCTGCATGTGCTACTTTCCTCTTCTGCCCTCCTTCCCTTCCTTTCCTGTTTGTTTTCTTGTTTCCCTGTTTCCCATCAGAGAGACATTTCAGAAATATCTTGTCTCCAGCAAATCACACCTTGGAAATTAAATGTGCCTATCAGGTAGGTTCCATCTTTCTTAGAGGGAGATGTTAACAATTGGCAACAGACAGTCTAATTGAACTGTTTCATATGGAGGGCTGCATAGTGCTGAGTTATTGGAAGGGCCTGCTTAAACACCACATAATATGTCTGTATTTTGGTTCTAGAGATAAAGTACTAGTAAAACATTGATTATGAGGATGATTTATTTTCTTCCTTTTAAAAATTGCTTAGCTTTATGTCCTGCATTATAAGTGCCAGGAAAAAAATGATTAGTTCTTGGGAGAGTGTAGGAAAATCCAGATACTTTCAGTGTTCTTCTTCCAAGAAAGGATCTTGAAAGATGTGAAAACCTGCTTACCCCTATGGAATGGCCCTCTCAGAAAATGGAACTGTATTTTCTGGGTTGAAAATAAGGTCAGGGTTCATTAGTCCATTATCATGCTTGAGACCTAATGGTTTAGACATTCATATGACATTCTTTTAGTGTTTGCCAGGTGTGATGGTGCCACCATGGCCTGTTACCTTGTGGAGATCAGTGGGTAGAGGGGAGCACATAGTCTGAACTAATCCCAGAAGGTTCTTTGGAGAGGATTTTTCCAGTGAGGCCCACACTGGCGGTGGTGCAGTCTTTGTCTCTGATGTCCACACCTTCGTCATTCATTCCTTACTTTGTGAAGCTCTATGAAGAAACTTCTCTAAATCCTTTTGAGAGCTATGTGCCAATTTCAAGAAAGGGCAACTTGGTTAGAGCTATGAAGAGTCTTCAGATGTTGAGTCCTTGAATTGATTGCATTGAACCAGAAGCAGGCAGGTGCAGCCAACATGAGGAATGAGTGCAGCGTGCTGCGGCTGGTGCTTTATGACCTACAACCTATCCTCACGACAGCCCTGGAGGGAAGGGATGATGGCATTTCCGTAAAGAAACTAGAGCTCAGAGAATTGAGAGTCACTTAAGGTCTCCAGCTAACCTGGACTCAAGGCCAACTTTGTCCACTACTCTGTGCTGCTTCTCTTCTCCCCCTAGGACTCAGAAGGGGCAAATGTAGAAATATGAGTCCTTAGATCTTAGACTTTGGCCCTTCAGAAAGAAGCACATATGATATGGGATCGTTGGGGGAGGGAAGGAAAGAAGTAACAGTGTCACCTCGTACATAACCTTGGGATATGGCCTAAAAAAGTCAAAGAATAAAATGTGTTCTCTGTGGAAGTACAGCTTGGGAGTGAACAAGCATAGATAGGTTCAGCCCACATGCACCGAGTATTATCTGCTGAGTTTGGATCCCCTTGAGGCTTTTTCATCTGGCCTGCATTCCTCATCAACTGCTCTGCAGTTTGACAACTGTAAACTGTGCTACAGATGTGGACCCTGGACCCTCAAAAGAAAATGGCCTGTATAATTACTCACATAATTTTGGCCCTTTTTCCCCAGATATTACTCAAAGCCTGGACAAGAGAGGTTCTTTTCAGCCAATATTTTAAAGTAGCAGCTGTGGGCTGGAAATAGAGCGCACTGTGCATTTATGCAATAGTTTGTTTGTGGCTTCCAAACCTTGTTAGTTGGGGGAGGGAGTGACTGTCTGCACTTAGATATTCCCTGTGTATTGCCTTTATATTGTAAGGCTTTTAGTTGGTGCTGGTAAGTAAATTAATTGCTCAAGAATGTTTTTTGTTTTTTTTTCATAGTCTCCTCTAAGCCATGACCTCATCCTTAATCTGACTCAGGACGGGATCAAACTACTGTTTGATGCTTTCAATCAGAGACTTAAGGTAACTAAAATTTCATGTCAGGCTGATTAATATGTGCTATTGTGAGATATTTTTTGAAATTTCTGAGTGGGAATAGATATTTGTGGTCCAGAGACCACCAAGATAACAGAGGATGGAAGCCATGCCTGTTTCTCCAAAAAAAAGAGAAACTAGGTCTGGTAGTTGGAAAGATTCTGGGAAGGACTCTCAGTGTCCCAGGCTCAAGAGGCGAAGGGGAAAAATATTGAGGATCTGGGGAACATGTTATGGGGAGGGGGCTTATTGAATTGAAAATGAGAGGAGGTAAGTATATAGCATAGATTATCCTGAGTCTTTAAAAATGGGTCTTAACTGCAGAAAAGGGCAAAAGATTTTAGTTAGGTTTTTGTGTCTTGTTTTATTTCATTCTTGGGTCAAACAGTGTGACTTAGGTGAAAATTGGAGCTAATCTTTTCTAAAATGCTGCGGCTTAACACCACCGGCCATGAGTTAATTCTTTAACTCCTTTAAAGAAGTGTAAACAAACAAGTTGCTGTTGTGTAGGGTTGTCTTAATTAGAGTTCAAGTACAATTTACCAACACCTGTTTCAGTCCAGGATGTTTATAATAAACTATTTACAAATGCCTGGGTTTCACAGGTTAGTCATGTGACAAGACTCATGCCTCAGAGTCACAAGGTTGAATGTGGCTCTGGGCAGTGGCATGCCAGGGCCGTCATTCCTGTCAGGTTATGGAATTACCTTTCCAGAAGACTTGGGTACTTCTTTGTCCTCAACATGCCATCACAGGTGGGCAGCTGAGGAGACAAGATAGCGCATGAGAAAAGAATCTGTATATGAAATAAGAATTCCTCATTTATGATGGTTTTCAAAAGCAGGACTTGGTGTGAAACTTACTAACCTGAAGTTTCACACTAGGAAGAAGTAGAGGATGGCCTTCAATCTGACTTCATCACAAATTGGGGGAAATTAATCTTAAAACACCTTTAGAAAGAGCCATTTGCCATTGACTTCATAAATCCACTTTAGGAAACATAACTTTAAAAGGTTATGGGGAAGTTAATGTTGCCAGATGTTTATAGCAGGGCTTTTCATCGTAATGAAAAGCTGTAGTAACCTAAGTGGACAGCAAAAGGGAGATGGCTAGGCAGCACAAAATAGAATCACAGCACGGTGAGGACAAAGTCATCTACTTAGTGAGCACCTGGTACGTGGCTGAGGGCTTCCTGTGCATTTCCTAATTTAATGCTAAAAAGCCTGTGAGTAGTGCTGTTTACTAGTGAGACAGTTGAGAGAGAGTGGATAGGTGGTCTGCCTGATCGTGCTTTTTTTTTCCCCTTTTGCTTTATTTTGAAAGATGTTATTTATTTTTATCTTTAGAGAGTAGGGAAGAGAAGGAGAAAGAGGGAGAGATACATAAATGTGTGGTTGCCTCTCGTGCATCCCCTACTGGGGACCTAGCCTGCAACCCAGGCATGTGCCCTGACTGGGAATCGAACCAGCAACCCTTTGGTTCTTAGGCCAGTACTCAACCCACGGAGCCACACCAACCGGGGCTGATCAAGCTTTTAACTACATTACCAGTGTATAGTGACTAGCCACTGAGAACTGGAATGGCTTAAGTTCTGTTGTTTGTGGGAAATAAATGTGATAAAAGCTGAAGAAAATAGTGTGCGTACAATATGCACAGATGTGAGGAATGAAAGGAGGTCAGAAAGTCTCTGCTTCCCCTCCCTGACTGATGTGGCTGGGTGGGTTGGGCATCATCCCACAAACTGAAAAGTCTTGGGTTTAATTCCCGGTCAGGGAGAGGCAACCAGTGATGTTTCTTTCCCTCTCTTTCTCCCTTCCTACTCCTCTCTCTAAAAATAAATAAATAATTTTTTTTTAAAGTCTCTACCTCTGTGTGGAGTTTAGTGAAGGAGGAGCTAGGCCCTTGCCTGTGCCTCCGGAAACTGAGGAAGTGATGCATCAGTCCCTTGCTTGGTACAAAGTCTGATCTGACCCATCTACCTGCCCCTCCATCCAAGGGCTTCAGAATCTCTCTCTCTCCCCCATGCTGCCTCCTGCAGTTTTCCTATCCTTTCACTCACTGCCTGTGAGTGAACTCTGTGGAATGAGGCTTTACAAGTCACCTTTACAGCCACCTGTCTTTTCCTTTCCTCTCTGGGCTGCTGCCATGTCTCCTCCTCTCTGGCAAAATCAAGGCCTTTTTCAGCCCAGAGAATAGAAAATCATGGGCTCTAGACTTCCCCAGCCACTTGTTCTTGGTTCCAGCAAGCTCCATGGACTAAAATCTGCTCGTAGATTCTCCTGGTGACACGAAGCTCTCCTGGATGGTGAGCACTGTGGGTCTCTTGCCACAAGTGCCACCCTGTCATTAACTCTGGTCCACTGGGCAGACAGGGCCAAAACACCTATAAATGTTGGTCTGGGCTACAGCAGGTTGGGCGACAATGACATAGGAAGAACATGTCACTGGGTGAGTGGTGGGAAGGCCTTGAAGGTGCAGCTGGCTATCTCTAGTGGTAGTAATCGGAGAGGTAGAGTGCCTGCCTCTGCTATATGAGCAGGGTTCTGGCTAAAGGTTGAGGTCCTCTTCTAACATAGGGACCTGCCTCAGTGAAATGGCATACCGGTTTGGCATGATAGACTGCCATGCTCAGGCTTTCCGAAGGGGACACTAGGTGTCTTATGAATCACAGCTATTTCCCTCCCCTTTTCTTGCATGACTGCTCTTGGCATCTCTTGCTTTCGAGCTCATGTTGCCCTCAGCTAGCTTCATACCAGACCAACTCGCCTGACATGTTGAGTACCTCCTCTTGTAAATTAGTAAGCCAGACCTCAGGGGCCTTAACTCAGTGGGCCTAGTGGACAGCATACACAAGCAGTGTAGGAAAAGGTTGATTCAAGTGCTGTGATGGCCCAACAGAGAGAGTGATTTTTAGTAGCAGGTAGTATCCAAGTAGCTACATTATAGTTAACAGATGTCTGCCCAACTTGTGAGTTCAGTGTTATGAAATGTAGACGAAGTTGGAGACAAGGTCTGATCACACGTGAATTAACTATTATGTTTCAGTCTCTGTTACAAAGCTAGATGTTCCTATACCCAGTTTCTCACTGCCCCTTCCAGGGTCAGACCCAGATTTTCATGGCAAACACACATTGAACCAACCCTGCTTGGCCTCTAAAATGAGGCCTGAGACCTTCCAGCTGGAGGATGGTAGGTGGTACTCCAGGCCCCAGCCCGCCATCCTGCTAGCTGCCAAGCCCTTGACACCATTGGCATAGAGGATTTCATAGTGCTTATTACTTGGTACCATTAGTGGTTGAGTATTTAGTAACTTTTTCTTTTGCCTCTGTTTTGAGTTCTGGGCATTTCATTTGAGGCCAAATCCACTGAAACTTCACCAGGGCCCTGCGGTTCTCCAGGTTCAACCCAGATGCCTTTCCTTAAGGATATATCTAAATATTGTCACAGTTGTTCTAAGATAATGTATTATGACTTGTTTTCTTGCAGGATAGATCTCTCCCTCCATTCTTCTGCTTTGTAAAAACAATATTTTAAAGCTATTTTTTTAAATTGACCTGATTTAGGTCTTTATAAAGTAGCAAAGTAAGGAAGGGGGCTCGGTGTCCAAGGTTACAGGTTTAACAAACTGCATGAATTTGTTTTTGTGAAGGGTTTCACTGTCCTGTAGGGATGGCGTATGCAGTTTTCCCTATGACCCAACAGTGGGTTAGTTCTCAGACTTTGACCCAGAGTGTTCATGGACATCTGTTGAACAATCCACAGGAAGCAGGGGGTGAAGGGGTTATGCTGTGTGTGTGGCATGGGTTTTTCATTCCAATTCAGAGAACTAAAGGTAACGTGCAGTGCTTCAGAAAAATTCCAGCTAGTGATAGATTTTTTTCTTTACAATTCTATGAATGTCATCTTAATTAATCTTCTTCAACTACAGAGCAGTAACAACCCTTATAATTTCTTTTTTAGGTGATTGAAGTATATGACTTGACTAAAGTAAAGTTAAAATATTGGTGAGTTTTCTCCTTTGCTGATTTATGTCACAGGCTTTAATCTGTATTTATGTACAGGTGGGCTTTATCTATAGTCATTACATCAGTAAAGGAATGCCATCTGTAGTAATCCTGAGATTAGACCCTGGTGCCGTGACTTCCTTAGGCAGCCTTCAAGTCTACTCAGTTTCCAGAAAAAGAAAAGCAAACCTTATTAAGAACATGCTATGTGTAAAGCACTTTACATATATGTCAACTTATTTAATCCTCACAAAGCAGGACCTCAGCTCAGAGGTGATGTGACTGTCTCTTGAGTCACAGCTGTCCTCTCCTACATAGCATTTTGGGCACCTCTTTATGCTTTTATTAGCAACAGAATTGGGACAGTCCAGACAAATATGACTCCGAAACCTTTGCTAAAGAAAATGCCAAAAAGGTCGCTATTTGGGGTCCAAAATCTGCTTTGTCAGATGATGCCTATATAATACACAAATGATTGTCCCTTGTGATGGCAGTCACTGGACTAGAGTGCTCTGTCCAGTGTTTCCAAGGTCTGGCTGCCCTAGGCTTGAGTTACACATTCATCATTTTATTAACCTGTGTAACCTTAGGCAAGTCACCTAACCTCTTTGAGCTTGTTTTCTCATCAACAAAATGAAACCAATAATGTGGCAGCTGGGTTAGGAAGATTGCATGAGATATTGGTGGTAAATGAAGCACATAGCACCAAGCCTGGTTCAAAAAGAGGTGTTCCATAAAGGATTTTTGGTTTTGTTTTTTGTTTTTTGTTTTAAGATTTTTTTTTTTAATTTATTTATCTTTAGTGGGGAAGGGAAGGAGAGAGGGAGAGAAACATCAATGTATGGTTGCCTTTCGTGCGTCCCCTGCTGGGAACTGGCCTGCAGGGAACCGGCCTGCAACCCTGGCATGTGCCCTGACTGGGAATCGAACCGCGATTGTCTGGTTTGCAGGCCTGCACTCAATCCACTGAGCTACAACAGCCAGGGCGGATTTTGTTTTTTGAAAAAAATTATTCTTAACCCTGAAGTATTCTCCTTAGAGTCATAAGTGCCTTATCTTCATGTCTATCATCTGAAGTCATATGCCCCTCTTTACGCCCAAGCCCATCCTCGGGTGCTTTTCATTTGCATGAGATCCATCCCTCCACCCTTTATCTACCCAGTCACCCATTTCATCTGCCTGTTAAGAAAACAAGCTGCTTTGCTTGTCCACATCCTTCTTTTAAGATGTTCACCCCCTTTTAAGGAAGTTCCTTTTTCAAGCCAACTACTAGTAGGTACCCTGGGAAAAACATTGACACTACTCCTGAGGCCACTGTTTATCTAAGTTTGAATGCCATGAAGCTGAACCTGTATATGTCTCCTTCTGAACTGTACCTGGTGACCACAAATGTCTTGGGAGGCCCTAGAGGACGAATATTGTATATAAGCCTGAGGAGAATTGACTTGTTCTAACCTCATTAATTGTCTCTTATTTAAACGTTCTTTAATTAAACTTATTTTGATATAATTATAGACTCATCCACCTGTGTTTTAAGAATAATTCTTCCAGCCACCATCTCCAATGATCTGTGAGCCCATCCTGGGAAGCCTGGTATTAAAAAGTATCTTTGTTTTTCAGTGGAGTACATTTTAACTCTCAGGCCATAGCTCCCACCATTGAGCAGATTGACCAGTCTTTTGGTGCAACCCACCCTGGAGGTAAGCCAAGTCCGTCTGATTCCTCAGGTCATCTGTGACAGCCCATAGTGATAGACCTGGCACATGGTACCATCCCAGCTGCAACCCCCTGAAGCCCAGTTCCTGTAGTATGTGGGGGTTGTTACTTGGGTATGAAAGAAAGCTCTTCCCCCTTGTTTTCACCCTGGCAGGTCAGTTCAAAAATGAGACACAAGAAAGGTGTTGCCAGTCAGTACTCCCTGCCAGGCAGGTTTGTGTTTACAACTTCTAATGCCATTCAGCCATGCCGTTTTCTTCTCCCCACCCTCACAGTGTACAACTCCGCTGAGCAGCTCTTCCACCTCAACTTCAGAGGACTGTCTTTCTCTTTTCAGTTAGACTCATGGACTGAGGCTCCCAAGTACGAGGTTAGTCCTTCCTTTTCCCTGGTGTTTGTTGCCCAGTGCCCAGATTATATTGGTCAGCAGATAGTGCTATTAAGGGAGAGTAGATAGGTATCCTTTCTTTGGTTTCCTTGTCTCTGAGGTCTTCGGGGGCCAAGAAGGTAGAGTGGGTAGGGTTGCCAGGAAGAACAAAGTCCAAGCTGGCATTCCCAGAAAGTGGGCACTTGCAACTGCAGAGTGAGGTTAACCTCACTTTTCAAAGATTAATCCAATCATGCCTTGCTTTAAAACGTGTAATGAAAAAAAAAAAAACACCTAATGACTAGGCCACTTTTCTCAATGACCTAAAGTTTGAAAGTTTACCCTAGATTTTTAGTTACCTATTGTTTTTAGAAAAATGTTTCATTCATCCTTAAACAACAGCATCCTTAGGCTTGTGAAATGATAGCTCTTCATAAGACTTACATTTTATTAAAGATGGCATTCTTGCATTTTCTCCCTGATGAAAGAAAGAAAAGAATAAATTAAGTAAAATTATAGATGAACTTGCATGGTCAGGGTGAGTTTATTGAGCCAAAGCCAGATTTAACTATGTGCTTTGACATGGCCAGTTCATGAAGACTGTAAGTGCTGGGGAGATGCCAAAGCCTGAGTCACATGGCCTGCAGTGTGCCCTTAATAAAACTTTTGTTCTGCATTTGCAGCCCAATTTTGCCCATGGTCTAGCTTCTCTCCAGATACCCCACGGAGCAACTGTGAAACGAATGTACATCTACAGTGGAAACAGCCTACAGGATACTAAGTATGTGTCAGGAGCCACAAGCTTCATGCTAAGGTCTGGGAGGTAAGGCAAAGCCTGTGCTCATTCTTTGCCTGCCCCCAGGGCTCCTGTGATGCCCCTGAGCTGTTTCCTGGGCAATGTGTATGCTGAGAGTGTAGATGTTCTTCGAGATGGAACAGGACCCTCAGGTTTACGACTTCGCCTACTTGCTGCAGGTCAGTTACTGGCTTTGGGGTGGTGGATTCACTCTTATGTCCATATTGAGACAATCTAAAATCCCATATGCTTAGGGATAGTTGGTAGAAGACAAATGATGCAAATGTTTATGGTTAACACTTCCATTTAAATTTGTGAAGGGACAAAACGTAGTCCTATTATTAGCATATTTTAATAAACAACTGTAGCACTATTTCCCTCAGCATGTACATGAGGTTTTTGTCAGCTTATGTAGCTTTGCCTTGGTTCCCAAGCTGTTTCCTGGAGATGTATGTTGTTGTCTGTTCTCCACCCTTTAAGGCCATTTCTCAGAGTAAGCTGGCAGGAAGGACTTGTTAGTTGTGGTTTGATCACACCCTGCTGAGATTTTGCTGTCCTTGAACAAATAAAAAGCATTGCCACCTTTAGTAGCTCGTCTCTCCGGGATCCATGTCTCATCTTGTGGTTTCTTATGCCTGGCCAATCTCAGGTACTTTGGACCTTGGATTGGGTTTAGTAAGATAGAAATCTTCATTGTAGAGCTTGCTGCTATAAACACAGCCTGGGAACCAACATAAAAGCTGTACCTTCACAGAACTCATAGTCCAGCCAACATGTGTTCATAAATTGGGGTCTTGGCGTCAGTCTCTGGGCATTGGTTCTCAATTGTTAAGAACCTGGTATGTACCCGGCTGCCAGAGCCATGAAGGTCAAGCTGTGCAGTTTCATTGGGTACAAGATCTATCCAGGACTTGAGAGGTGCTACGCCAGGACTGACAGGAAGGTTTTCCAATTTCTTTATCTTTAGAGGGGGAGAGAAGGAGAGAAATATCAATGTATGGTTGCCTCTCATGCATCCCCTGCTGGGAACTGGCCTGCAACCCAGGCATGTGCCCTGGCTGGGAATCGAACCACGATCCTTTGGTCCACAGGCCTATGCTCAATCCACTGAGCTAAACCAGCCGGGGTGGTTTTCCAATTTCTTAATGCAAAATGTGAGTCAGTATTCCTTTCCAAGAGAAATCCTCGACCGATAAACTGGACTGTGCTCTACAGAAGAAAGCACAAAAAGGGACAGTCAGAAGAAATTCAAAAGAAGAGAACCCGCTGTGCAGTCAAATTCCAGAGGGTCATCACTGGTGCGTCTCTTGCTGATATAATGGCCAAGTGGAATCAGAAATCTGAAGTTAGGAAAGCTCAATGAGAACAAGCTATCAGGGCTGCCAAGGAAGCAAAAAGGCTAAGCAAGCATCTAAAAAGACAGCAATGGCTGCTGCTAAGGCTCCCACAAAGGCAGCATCTAAGCAAAAGATTGTGGAGCCTGTGAAAGTTTCTGTCCCTTGTGTTGGTGGAAAATGCTAAGTTGGCTGATCAGATTTTTAAATAAAGACTTACCAAGTTAAAAAAAAAAAAAGAATCTGGTATATAGCCCTGGCTGGTGTAGCTCAGTGGATTGAACATGGGCTATGACCCAAAGGGTCGCTGGTTTGATTCCCAGTTGCAGGGTTGCAGGCTAGGTCCCTAGTGCAGGTCATGTGAGAGGCAACTACACATTGATATTTCTCTCCCTCTCTCTCTCCCTCCCTTCCCCTCTCTCTCTAAAAAATAAATAAGAAAAATATTTATTTAAAAAAAATCTGGTATATAACCCTAGCTGGTGTGGCTCTGTGGATTGAGCTCAGGTCTGCAAGCCGAAGGGTCGCCAGTTTGATTCCCAATCAGGGCACACGCCTGGGTTGCAGGCCAAGTACCCAGCCAGGTACATGTGAGAGGCAGCCCATTGACGTGTCTCTCACACACTGATACTTCCCTCTGTTTCTCCTTTCCTTCCCCTTTCTCCAAAAGAATAAATAAATAAAATCTTTTTTTAAAAATCTGGTATATAAACTGAATTTACTGCCCTGAACAATTAAATAGTTCACAACCTCTAGGTTAGAAATTTCTTAAAATGTGTTTTTTTAAGCTAACGCAGAACACCAGCTGCTTAAAGGAATGTTGCAATAGTTTTTGAGAGAATTGAGACGTGGCAACCTAGTCAGATGACTTAGGGCCAGCCTTCTCCAGAGTATTGCTGTTTGGAACAGCAGGACAGATAGTCAAGGGGGGCGCAGTTATCCAGGCAATAGCAGGAGGGGCCTGTTGGGAGCTGGGGAGGGGAGCGTTGTCTCAGCTAATTCTGCCTGCCACCCTTTACAGTACACTCTTAGCAGTTGCATCTCACTGCTTACAGGGTCAGCGAGGAAAACACTTTAAGTCCAATCCAGCACTCATTGAGAGGATTTTGGTTTTTGGTGGTGTTTTTTTTCCCGGCAAGTAGAAGAGTAGCTTGTCTCAACCGACCCATTTCTCCCGTCTCTGTCCTTATGGCTGCAGTGATTTTTCTTTCTTTAGAGAGAGAGAAACATGAGTTTGTTGTTGTACTTATTTATGCATTCATTGGTTGATTCTTGTATGTGCCCTGACCTGATCAAACCTGCAACCTTGGCATATGTGGGACACTGCTCTGACTACCTAATCGGGGCCTACAGTGATGCTTTTCACAGGGAAAGTCAGTTCAACTATTTTGGTCCCTGCAATAATTTATAGGAAGACTCACTCTGAGGAAATAACTAAATACTCTCCTAAAACTAAAGGAAGTTTTATCTGGCTGGGCTTCAGGCAGAAAAGAGAGAAAGCTCACCTGTGAAGGGTGTCTTCCCAATAACTCCACCTGACATCACCAGTATTTGGTACCTGGAGACTTTGGATACACAGTGCAGCTTGACAGGACTTTTGGTGGGTTCCAAATTCACCTAAGATACAAGATTTGTGAACAGAGGTTATTATAGACTATGCTTTGCTCAGGACCTAGTTAATTTAAACAGGGCTTTATTTGCCATTCAGTGTATATGTGCTATGAATAAAGACTTGGGTTAATTGGAGAATTCAGCACCTAGTTATTTTATATTCAGAATCCCTGAAATTTTAATAATCCATTTAACAAATGGATTATTTGAAAGAGCTTTGTCAGCTCTAAAGCCCTGTGCAGAGTAAGGTGATGTGGGTGTTATTATAGTGCCAGGAATTGCAGTCCTTGAATTCTTGGCTTTTCCCCCTCTTTTTTGAGGGGGTGAAGGGTGTAAAACACGTCTTTCTAGCCACTGAATGAGAGAAATTTTACTATTGGCGTGTCTATTACTATTTCACAACTACTCTGTGTGTGTTTAATTGGAGCTACTTCTGAAGTGGATTAGACAAAGTCCAGGTTTAAACATTATTCCCAGAGAAGAAACTTTTGACAGATCAGAAGATTTTTTCATTTTCCCACTTTTTTGGCTTGTCTCTTGAAGTATTAGTGTGTCCGTGAGATGTTTATGGAATTAGGGAGTGAGTTCATGGGTGTTTCACTCTTGGCTCTTCAGTAGAGTGATATTTAGTTCCAAGCTCTTACTGGGTGTTACCACTGAGAAGTACCTCCTAACATCAAATACCCTTTATCTTGTCAGGACCTGCAAAGTAGCAAGAAATAGTATGTTATTATATACTTCTGTAGTACCTATGCTGCTGTTTACTGTACCTCAATTGTATGGTGATTTGAGGGAGCTCTTCATATCATAAACTCCCATGTGGGCAGTGAATTTGTCCTAGCTCATGACGATCAATAATAAATATTTGGTGAGTGAGTGATGTCACCAGAACTTTGTGTCATTTTGGTGGAATTGAGTGAATCTGGCTTTATTTTGAAAAGATGGTGATCTAATCAGCATCTCAGGTCCTGCTGAACTGGTGTTTTCTGCTTGTGTGCAGTCTTGCCCCTCATGTGGCATGCAGCCAGTGTCCTCTCTGGGGCCCCCAGGGCCCAGGGATGCCTGGTCTCGGGGCTCTGACCAGGAAGCTGACCACCTCTCCCTTGTTTTCTGCAGGTTGTGGACCCGGCCTGTTAGCAGATGCCAAGATGCGGGTATTTGAACGTTCAGTGTATTTTGGCGATTCTTGTCAAGATGTTCTTAGCATGCTTGGTTCTCCACACAAGATCTTCTATAAGTCAGAAGACAAGGTGAGGGAAATGTGTTTATAAAGTGAATAGGAAGTCTCTTAAATTTTTAAAATCACTGACTTAATATTGAGTAAATGTAAACTGTTTGCTATTTTCTCATAGAACCAATTCTGTTCAGGCAGATAGAGAAGTAAATTTAAAGCTCATTTCTGACCTTTGTTGGTCACATTGTCCTGCCTTTCCTTGGAGACCAGTCTGTAGTCAACCACAGCTGGCTGGTTTGGTTGGCACCAACAGCTGGGACTCCACAGTCTTGTCTACCCAACAGCTTAATGTCATAGAAAAAATACAGTTTGTACACTTTCACTTAATCCAGGAGCTGTGTTATGGATTGGATTTTGATTCATTATTTTTTCCCCAACAGATGAAAATTCATTCTCCTTCCCCTCATAAGCAAGTTCCTTCCAAGTGCAATGACTACTTTTTTAACTACTTCACTCTCGGCGTGGTAAGTTATGATTCCTTAGAGCAGCATTTACTTTCTGTGGGGGGTGGGCAGTGCACCTGGGCACACCTGTGTGTGCATGTGCAGCTGTAACTGTGCCTGGCAACAGGGAACCTGGCCCCAGCTGGCTTTGCCCAGTGTTCTCTTATATGGCAGACTTTTCCTGCCATCAAGATTGCTGAGACACCAGGTTCCTGGTATGTCTTTTCTGGCAGAAACATGCTCCATAGGTGGAGGCTGTGGGAATCTTTCAGGTTAAGATGTTTTGGGAACTGCCCTTTTGTAGAGCATAGGACCCTCTCATGGAGTAAGCAGTGAGAGATTAAAAAGGCTCAAAAACTCCCTGGCTAGTGTGGCTCAGTGGATCGAATGCTGGCCCGTGAACCAAAGGGTCACCAGTTTGATTCCTGATCAGGGCACAGGCCTGGGTTACAGGTCAGGTCCCCAGTATGGAGTGTGCGAGAGGCAACCACACATTGATGTTTCACTCTTTCTCTATTCCTTCTTCTCTCTCTAAAAATAAATAAATAAAATATTTTTTAAAAAAGGCTCAAAAACAGTGAGAGTGTGCTTATGCATGTGTGGGATCACCCCAGAGGCATTATTGTAGCCCTGTGCTCTGGACCGAAAGTGCTGAATGGAGCTGACGCCACCATCAGTGCTGATAGTCCATCTGGTAGATGGATTTTGTGTGTCAGAAAAGATTGTGGAATCTCTGCACCAGCAGGATACATCTCAGCAGGGCTGACCTGGACCTGGATCTTCTAACATCTGAGCTTTCTAGGTCCTGAGTTCCTGAGGCAGCAAAAAAAAAAAAAAAGGTGGGGGGTAGATTTCAGAGAGGAAGAAGGGAGACTGGGTCTGCCTGTTTGGGAGAAATCAAACAGGAGTAGTAGGGAAATAGTGGTGGGATCATAAACTCTGCGGGTAGGATGGTGCCAGGAGGGAATGATACTGTTGTAAGCTAAACCTCATTTGAGTTCTAGAGCCAGTGATGGTAAGTGGCAGGGAAGATGAAGTGAATGGGTTGGCCCTAATAGGACTTAGTGTAGTGATTGATGGAGGGGTGGAGTCAGGGGTCACCTTCGGGGTCACAGGCCTGAGCAGCTGGGAAGGGTGTGAAGGATAGCAGGAAGTGTTAAATAGGCAGCATCAAATCTAGGTGTGAATCTTCGCGGGAGGCCGGAACTTTGGTTCCAGGGGTTACTGACTCCCATGGAATGGAAGCCAGAGGGTCCGGCAGGTCGTGGCATTCAGAATAACCAGGTGCCTATAGTTGGTTGGGTGGCCCCCCCCATCACTGCAAATGTCCAGTTTACTTGACCTCAGTTGTCCCCTTGATTGTTGCTTGGGAGAAAGCTCTTGCCTGCAGGCATCCCCATTGTGGAATGGGTGTCTCTGAGTTGGACGTGCCCTTGGAAAGACCCCTGTCCTACCTTAGTAACTTTCCCTACTTGGGCATTCTTGTTTTCTCTCCTAGGACATCCTCTTTGATGCGAATACTCATAAAGTAAAGAAGTTTGTTCTTCACACCAATTACCCTGGGCATTATAATTTTAACATGTGAGTATACCTATACCTGCTTCTCTGAGAAATGAACTTTGGACTGAAAATCCCCAGGAAAAGAGAGCTTACAGCTTTAGAGTTCACTAATTTACTTACACCCGAATCCTTGCTATTTCATGGGAAGTGAACATTTACTTAAGTGTTTGCTCTGTTCCTAGTGTGATGTCTAATACCTTCCATCTCTCCATCTGTACTCATTTTACAAATATGAAAATAGATTCAGAGAGTTTGGTGGATTGCTGTGCTTGATTCTGTTTCTCCCGGGGTGCGGGGTTGAGATGTGGGGGTAGTTAGGCTTCCCTGGGGGGCCCAGCCTTTACTAAACCTGCCTTCTCTTTCTTAGTTATCATCGTTGTGAGTTCAAGATCCCACTAGCCATAAAGAAAGGTGAGTAGTGAGTGTCCTCAGAGTAAGAAAAGGCTTTTGGGGTCAGTCACTCATAATGAGAATGGACACGTGATCCAAGTAGAGAGGATGGTAGTCACTGGGTTTGTGGAGTCTTTCCCACTTGCTTCTGCATATAGTCTCAGCTTCTCTGGCCTGCGCTCCTTGTTCTAGGAGGCTGCGTTGTTCTTTGTAGTCTCGTCGGGGCCTTCCACGTCTTTTCCTGTGACCATAGATTGCTTATTTCTTGAAAGGAGAGTTTCACATGTACAGATGATCGTCCAGGTGCTCCCAGCCCAGCCCTGTGACTGTTGTCCACCGCCAGTTGTTGTAGTTCACACCTGACTGACCTCCTTTCACCCTCCACTCTCATCCATTTTAGGAACTCTAAAACTGTCTATCTGTCCTCCCTCCTTACTCCAACCCCAGTACAAAGGGTGGCCAGATCTGGATTCTTCCTAGCACTGGGTCAGATACTAACCACTCTGTTTTCTTTTTAGAAAATGCAGATGGTCAGACAGAAACATGCACAACCTATAGCAAGGTGAGCTCCTATTTTCCTACCTGACAGAATGAGGTGGGTATGAGCCTGCCAGCAGTCTGGGGCCCATGTTCTCTGGACCAGCCATTGGTCACAGGTGTGGTCAGGCCCTGCTAACCCCCTGCCCCCTCCATCCCTCTTGCAGTGGGACAGCATCCAGGAGCTCCTGGGTCACCCTGTGGAGAAGCCTGTTGTCCTACACAGGTGAGTGTGGGAGGTTGCCGGCTCAGACCACCCTATCAGAAGGCCCAGGGAAGCTTAGCAGTGGATATTGCTTAGCAATGATAGACACACACATACTTTCTGCCCCCACCCTGTGCATTAGTACGAGGCCTGTTACTCTGCATGTTTACCTGTACTAGAGAGAATGCCTATTAGAGATAGCTTCCCACCTACCTCCAGGTCTGAAGGCCTTTCACCCCTAGTTATTCAGAAAGGGAGGCTGACTATCCTGGGGGTTTTTTTTTCCCCCATCAAAGCTGCTACCTGCTCACAGCCCAGTACCCAATACTTGGATGCCATTCTGCCTGCAGCTGTCTCCCTCCTGAATGGTCACAACCCCAGTCCAATTTCATGGTAACTTTTTGTGCCCTGTTGGGCTGTGTAGGATTCAGAGCTGAGTGGGGTCTGTTGCTGTCTCTAGGACCTCAAGGGCCTGTGTAGAACTTAAGTATGACTTCCCCAATAGCCCCCATCCCAAAGAGCCTGGTTTTCTGGCCTGGCCTTGACCTCTTGTCTATCCCCTCTAATTCTGGCTTCCCCGGCCTCAGGTCCTCCTCCCCAAACAACACCAACCCTTTTGGCTCCACATTCTGCTTTGGTCTTCAGCGGATGATCTTTGAGGTAAGCCCCAGGGACTGGGGCTGGTGTTCATGGCAGGGACAGACAAGTCATTGAGCGAGATCAGGGAGGACCTAACAGCCGTACTGGGCAGGGTAATTTTCCAATAGTGGCTGAGAACCTAGCCTACCCATTTAACAGTGAAGGTTCAGAATTATATTGGGAGAAATACAGACTAAAGCAGTAGTCTGTATTCATTAAGATGAGAAGTAATGGGGATCCCATACTTATATCTAAAAACAGCACGAAAGGGAACCACAGGGCAGTGGGGCTCATGCCAGGGGTTTGGGGGACCTTGGAATGCCATGTAAATGAATGTGCTCTGGGTGGGTTGCTGTAGAGGCCCTGTTGGCTTGGGAGAAAAATGGGCCACCCCTGTTTTTCCTTGTGGATGCCATGACCTTCATCGGGCTCCTAAAGAGTTCCAGAAGAACTGGACAAATGGGTGTGGGGAAGTGTGTGTATCCTATGAGGCACAGGCAGACACTGGGGCAGAGATGACCCCTAGAGTGAGATAAGGGATGTCGAGCAGCTGCCCTAGCCCTGCGTGCAGTTGTGTTGTACACGCAACCTACATGCCCATGTTCAGGATCTTCTCTGGGTCCTTCTCTGCAGTCACAGCCCCAGTGCTGATCCCACTGGTGGTTTTTGTGGGTCTGATTGCTCGCTCTGCTCTGCCCTTTTGACCTGCTGTCCTCTTCTCACACCAGGTTATGCAGAATAACCACATTGCCTCGGTGACCCTGTATGGCCCCCCCAGGCCTGGTGCCCATCTGAAAACAGCAGAGCTCCCCTAGGGACATCACCACCCATGCCCCTCTCCCCCGTGGAACTGTGCATCGCATCCTCCTCAGCAGGCCTTCATGTGCCACCTGTGGGTTTTCTTGGACACCTTGCCAGTATTGAAGGGCTGTTGTGATGTTCTGAGATGGGGCTCAGGCTGGGTGCTCTGCCTTAGGGTGAAAGACCCAGGTATTCTTCTGTCCGTCCTCAGCCTGCTGGTGCCAACAGGGGACACAGACTGCAAAGAGAAGCACAAACTCTGAGCCTTGATACCTGGAGCCAGGAGCTTTCGAGTAACACGTAAGGAGGCAGGGATCTCTCCCTCCTGTCCCACACACATTGGAAAACTTGGGACTCTCTGTGGCTGAAAACGCAGGCACCCAGGATGAGGACAGGGTCCTGCCTTTGGCCCAACATTGCCACATGATCCTTAAGGCAAGCAGGTAGCATGTTCATAGTACTTGGTTGCAACTTTTGCACTACATCCACTTTAGTTACTTGATGAGCTGACTGTGGCCAGGGTGGCCCACCTGCCCTTCCTCGTTCCTTTCTTGCACACGCGCTCCCTACCAGGCCCAGCAGGCACACCCAGCTGGTTGAAACATAGCTTTCTACCATCCAGGTACATGCCCAGACCTGGTTCCCATGCTTCTTGAAGCCAGTTTTCAAGGTTACCTGTGCCCCGCTCTGCCCCAGTCTGGCTGGCAGGGCTGCATGTTTCCATCCTGTTTGCCTCTTTTATTTAATGCCAAAGTTTTAGCCAAAGACATCTTTTTTGTTGTTGTGTTTCAGCATTCTGTTCTGCACTGTGGGCTGGCTCCCCTGTCCCAACCACGGGCAGCGTCCCTTGGCTGGGTCTGTTCATGGCTCAAGGCCTCTGGGGACTCAAGGAGGGCTGGGCTACTCAGTCTCTTCATGGGTCTTGCTAAGGAAAGTAGCATATGTGCTTTAAAAATATTAACCTTTTGAAAAGAATTGAGAAAAGAAATGTATAATTTTATCCCATTTTTAATATTTTGGTCTAGCAACTTGTGATACATAGATGACAATTTTGTGAGTTTTTCAAATGTGTGTACAGATTTTTGTAAATATGACTCTTTTGTAATTAACTCATGTACAGCCTCATCCTGTATAGTTTAACGATGAATGTGCAGGGGACCTGCCCCAGGCTCCTATGTGATTCCTGGGCCTACAGCCAGGCTTGTGTGGCGCTTTCATTAATTTGTGACTGACTGGTGTCTTCCCATTTGGACTGTGGCCTGGCCAGAGACACCCCCAACCCTACCCCTGCTATCCCACTATTGGGGCAGCCAGGACTGATCTCGTCCTCCTGAAATGGGGGAATCTTCCTCACGTCCTGCCCACACCTCTCCTCCAATAAAGACCTATGCCCTCAGCAGCAGCTCACATGTGCTGTTGCTGGGATGTTTGTACTAAAATAAGCGTGGGGACATTGATTGTTTTAAAGAATACAGGAATGTGTATAGTGGAGTCATCTTAGGAGAACAGGTTCCTTGGCTCCTCTGAAGGGGCAGTAGAGCCTCCAATAGGAGATTGTCATGGTTGTGTGGGCATAGGTTCTTGTGCAAGGGTAGTTGGAGGTGGAGAAAGGTAGGACCATGCATTTGGTCATCCCTGTATGCCTGGGTCCCTGGTGTTGCAGCCAAACCAGGGCCCAGGAAGGGCCTCAAAAGGAGATCTAAAGATCTTGACAAGTCTGAAAATCTAATTTGTAAGGATAGGTGCGAAGCAAAATGCTTACTTTCAGACTGAGTTTTAACAGTATGTCTGCCAGTCCCATGAACTCATTAGATCAGCTCCCAGTAGGGACACAGGAGCCAAGCTCAGTCTTCATTCTCTGGGACCCTGAGGAAGCACATCTCTTTTTCTGGAGCTGGTTCCTGAGCTCGTCTGCCCCTTTTGGGGGAAGAGCCACAAACAATACAATAATCTGCCTGGGAAACCCTCTCAAACTCACACTACATCTTGGATCTGAATGAAGGGAGCTTGGGGCTTTGACAGATTACTAGCGATTCCACTGGAAGGAGCCAGCGGCAGCAGGCCAAGGGTGTGCACAGGCTGGCCCAGGTGGGCCGTGCAATAAGTGCCACATTAACCAGATGTCAGTGGCCGATAGTCCATGCACTACAACCAGCTCACGGTAAAAGCAGGGGTCGAAGGTGCGCAGGTGTGGCGCGGCGGAAGGCTGGGGTATGCCAAAGGTGCGGAAAGCAGGGTGAGGCTCAGGCGTGAGCCGCAGGCGCTGTAGACACATGCCCAGAAAGACGTCGTCTATGGGGAAGAGCTCAACCTGTGCACAGGCGCCGGCCAAGCGGCGCAGCGTGGCCCCAGAAAACACGAAGCCACCGCCACCGGCGTAGGCTGGGTAGGCCGGCAGGCCATACACAGCCTCTGGAATGTAGTACTTGCTGGCTCTTAACCGGATGGGCCGAGCCTGTACAATCACGTCACCCGCAAGCAGGTCCTGCGCCGGATCTCGTGCTGCCAGAAACTCCAGCAGGTTTTCCACGTGCACGAAGACATCGGCGTCACCCTTAAAAACAAAGCGTACGTCTGGGCAGTAGGCTGAGGCCCAGGCCAGAAAGTGAATCTCTTTGAGCGTTAGGTTGAAAAAAGTGTCTTCGAAGGCCCAGAGCAGAATGTCCGCGTAGGCGCGACTCTCAGCACGCAGTAGGGCGTGCCAGTGAGTTTGCATGCCTGCCCCCTCCGCTTCCGCCTGGTCTGAGCCTGCGCCCCTGGGCAAGCCCAGCAAGAACACGCGGCGCACTAGCGCCCCCTGCACACGCCCCTCTGCCCCCCATGTCTGGCGCACAGCTTGGCGTCGCTCAAAGTCTGCTGCCACTGACTTGACAGCAATGAGCAGGTCGGGTCCCGCGACAAATGTGCCATCACGTCGGCACTTGTGCGGCTGGTTAATGAGCAGCGGGAAGTGTCGCTGGTCCTTAGCACGTAGGTATCGCCCAAAGTCAAAGGGTCCCGTGGGCGTGGGCTTGGGCGGCTCCGGCGTATCCTCTTCATAGGTCTGCAGGGCTGGGCTCGCATCAGGTTCCTGGAATACACGGAGCCGGGGACTGGGCCCTGGCGCTGCCCGGCCGTGAGCTCGCGGTGCACTAGTTGTAGGGGCTATGCCATCACGCTGTGCATAGAGCAAGAGGCCGAGGGCGGAGCCCAGGAGCAGCGTGATCCACGCGTCCCCTCGTAGGCGCAATCTCCGCCTCATGTTTGCGTGTCCGGCGCCTGCTCCCCCTGCGGAGAGACTCTGTCAGGCCTCTGGGCCCCGTCCTCCATGAAGGTAGGGGGCAGGAGACCACCCGCTGGGGGTCTCCATCTATCGGTGGTTCTTTCCCCTCCTGTGTCCTCCTCAGGGGTCTCTGTCACCCCTCCCCCCATCGGGATGGGTAGGATGAAAGGGCAAGGAGTCTTCCAAGTTGCCAACTCCCACCCCCTCAGCTTTGGCCCAGGACTGTGCTCCAAGGCCGGGGGCAGGGAGATGCCAAGCCTCAGCCCCACTCCCCGCCCGCCTTCCCAGCGCTGAGGCCAAAAGCCTTCTACTCCTCTCTACCCACCACCTTGATCCTAAGGATCCCGACACTCACGATCAGCCCTTGGGAGCGGCGTGGCCCCAGACGCCAGGACCTCCGGGGCTTAGCGCAGCCATGGACCGGCTGGGGCCAAATGCAGCGTTGGCAGGAAGAGAGACCGGGGCCGCTGCCACGTGACCCTCCAGCTGTGTGCGCCTGGACAGCTGGAGCTCAGCTCCACCCCTGCGCCGTGTGCTGTCTCCGTGTGGGAACTAGCCTCTGAGAAGGATCCTAACGGGCAACTCTTTCTAGGAATGCCTGGAGAGGTGGATTCTGGTCTCAATACAGGCTCAAACTCTCTGAATCCCCTTTTCTAGGGGCAGGAAAAAGTAGCCTCTCTTAATTGTGCCAACTCTCCTCCCCCCCCCCCCCCCAACCCCTACCTGATTCTCTGGAATGGGGCAAGGCCTGAGCTGGCAGGAGAGGGATGGAGGCGGGACGGGGTGGGGGGCGGGCGGCCTGGTCCCAAATCCCTGGGCCCAGCTTCCTAGTCATCAACCTGGCCGTTATCCTAGCGCATTCTTGGAAGTGTCTTTCATCAGCTCAGAAGGAACCCTGGGTCCACTAGGCAGGGCCCAAGTACTGCCCCTGGGACACATGGTGGCATCCATACTACTGGTTCTGCCATGACCCCTAGCAGACACACACATGCCAACAAGACAGTTCATTTTATTCTTGAAACAACCCTAACAGCAATTCTCACTGTTCATGCCCAGATGGGGGACACTGCCCCCTCAGAGAGATAAGTGACTTGCCCGGGATCATACAAGCACAAGCCGAGAGCACTGCCCCAGATCTTCTGGAATTCGATCCAGGATTCTGTCCTCTGTTGTCCCTTGCTGCTCTCCCCATCCATCCACTGGAACACAGGATGGGGCCAGCCCTGTTTTTTCACCTGTTAATTTCATAGGTGAGCCCCTCAATCTGTCTCTCCAGAGGCAGTTCTGAGTCCCCTGGTCCCCAGCGCCCCAGGCCAGCATAGCCTGCTGCAGGTAGAAATAACCAAGCCTCGGTGACTACAGGCCAAATTGGGGAACCCCTGAAGTAGGCCAGTGAGCAAAGGATTTGTTCTGGAACCCAGGTGGGCAGAGAGGAACTGTGCAGACTGAGGGCCCAGTCTTTGCCTAGCTCTGCTGCCAACTCCCTTTTCCTGGAACTCAGAGCCTCCTGGTTTCAACCCATTGCAGTGGAGCCTGGAGTAGACACCACCCCCACCCATCCGCCCTAGAGTTTGAGGACAGGCTGTGGGAACTGGCCATCCTCTACCCAATGCCATCCTCTTTCCAATGGCTATGCCTGTGCCTCCTGACAACTTCCCACCAATGTTATCCCTTAAAAAGCAAACCCTGCCTCCTGAGCCTCACTCTCCTGTTCACAGACCCCTTGGGAGTCTGCTATTCTGGTTTTCTGAATTACCTTACCTCCCACTCCTCCTGTGGTCTGGCTTCAGGCTGTACCCACTGTGTCCCAGAAATACCCCCACCTAGTAGCCTTCTACCCAACTCCAGCAAACACTCCTCAGCCTTGACCAATCTGCAGTCTCCGTCACCGCAAGCGGGTATTCCCCAGGCTTCCAAATCTCCTGGTGGCCCTCCTTCATCTTTGGGCTGCTCCTTTTCCAGTTAGTGTCCTTCAGGATTTCCTCCTGAGCCACCCCACCCACTCCCACCTGTCCATTTGTGAATCTTTAGCTTTGACCTTCTGCTGCACCCTAAACTGTAGATCCAGCTGTCCTCAGACCCTCCCTGGATGTTCTACAGAAACTTCATGCCCAACTTGTTCTGAACAGAGCAAGCACTTCTCCTCCAGACCAGCATCTCGAGAGGGAGTCTCACCTTTCATCCAACTGGCAAAAGGCAAAAACTCTGGGGCTCTCTCTCACCTAACTCCTTAGCCAGTGTCACCGGGCCTGTCATCCTTGGTCTGAAAGAGCTCTTGGTGTTCAACCCTTCCCTCCATCTCTTCTGCAACTGCCCCAGCGTGGGCCTCAGTCCTCTCTCTCTTTCTCCCTCTCTGCATCCTCAGCAGCCTCCCAGCCTCCATTCCTGAAACCCTTTAAAGGCTTCTCACTGGTCTCAGGATACAATCCAAACTCTGTAAAATGGCTTACCAGACCCCGTGCTATCTACCTCCCCTCCTCACCAACTGGTCTCTGCAAATCCACCCACCTCCACACCCAGCCACTCAAACTTCCTATTCTTCTAATATCCCTTCCTCTCACCTCCCTCAAGACTTTGCCTGAGGCTGGCTGTGCCCAGGACATTGCCCTTTTCCCAGCCCCACCACCACCACCCTCCCCTCCCCTCACACTCATCTCTCTCCCAGGAAGCCTAACCCATAACCTGGGTTAGGCCCCTCCTTAGTGCTCCCACAATTCCTTGTATTTTTCACATCAAGAAACAGGTAACATGCTCTGGCAGGTAGTTCAGTTGATTAGAGCATCATCCTCATACACCAAGGTTGCAGATTCAATCCCCAAGTCAAGGCCACATGCAAGAATCAATGAATGCATCAGTAAATGGAACAACAAACTGATGTTTCTCTTTCTCCCTCCCCCCTCTAAAATCAATAAATAAAAAGAAAGAGGTAATGTTTTATTGCCATTGCTTAATATTTGGAATTCCACATTGAATGTGAACTGGGGGCAGGCAGAATTTGTTGATCTTGTTCATCACAGTATTTGCAGTACTCAGGATGAAGCCTAAAATACGGGAGGTGCCTGATGCGTATTCAGTGAGAGCAGAGGTAATGGCTGGCTGGAAGCCCCTCTTCTGGGATGGGTGAGGTGAGGCTGACCTCTGCAGATCACCCCCATGTTCTGTCTCTATGGCAGTTTCTGGAGCAGAATCCCCAGTGGCACTTCAGCAGGCATGGGGGGTGCTTGTCTGACTCCTTGAGAAGGCCAGTCAACTCTTCCCAGCAGCTCGACTAAGTAGGGTTGTAAGTCCTGTGGTTGGACAGGTCAGCAGTAGCAGCAGAAGGGACCCTAGGGTCATCCAGGTGCTCCAAACTCTGGCTGGGCAACTGGCTGACCACCTTTTTTTTTTTATCTGGTACCCAGCCTAGGCCAGGCTGCCATCTGGATTTGTCAGGCCTAGCAAGTCCTCTGCCAGGCTGGTGAGCTCGTTCTCCTCGAGCGCCTCCACCAGGCGCTGCAGTGTGGCTCGGCGGCCCTCAGCCTGAATGAAACGGCGGAGCAGCTGGAAGGCCTGCTCGTATAGCCCCTCCCGCTCGTATTCATAGGCCAGGGAGTCGAGTACAGGGTCCCGTAGTGCACGACAGCCTCGCTGCAGGGAGCGTCCAACCTTGCGCCATTTGAGGCCCACTGAACGTGCAAAAGTCTGTTGGTCCTGCAGGCTTAATGGTCGGTTCACTGCAATAGAGTGGGGAGCACAATGAGCTGGGGGAGGAGGCTGGGGCAGACCGATACCCTTGCATTCCCGCCAGTTTCCCAGAACGCTGCCTCTGCATCTCCAAGCACGCCTTACCTATGGGCTGACCCTGGAACAGAAAAGTCTGGCCAGGTGGCGGCGGTGGTGGCTTCTCCACCGATGGAGAGGAAGCCAGGGACTGGAAAGGGACTGGAGCTACCTCCACGTTGCCACCTTGGCCTCCAGAGCCGCACGTCAGATTCTGGAGCGCAGACTCCAACTCAGCAAGTTCCTCATCCCGGAGCCTGTCAGGCTAGGGAGGAGAGTGCGGTGTCACTGCGGGGCTTAGCCTCGAAACCCTGCCCCACCCGTCTCTGGCCTTAGCCGTCTCTGGCCCTAGCCCGACTGCACCTTCTGGGCAAAGATGCAACTCAAACAACGCTCCTCATCTGTCATCAAGGCGTCCAGCAGCTCTCCACCAGCGCGCAGCTCCAGTTGCAAAGGCACCGAGTGCAGGGCCAGCGCCCCAGCCAAGCAGCCCTCCAGCGTGGTGCGCAGCGCCCCCTCGCGGTAGGCTTGGAGGAAGCGGGCGCAGGGCTGGCGTCCGCAGAAACGCAGCTGCACAATCAGCTGCTGGTCGCTGCGGTGGATCTTGAGCATCTGTAACACCTCTGGGCTCCCGCTCTCTGCGGAGGCAGGCAGTCAGGCGCCAGGCGGTCCCCATGCCGGGCCGTCCTCCAAGCCGTTAGAAGAAGGGTGAAGCCCGCAGTCATTCTCCCTTCCTACTCCCAGACCTAGGGGCGCACGCAGTAACCCCAGAGCTCCCAGCCGGGGGAGGGAGAGGGGGCTGGGATACCAGAATGAAGACCAGGACTTATCACGGGGAGTGAGTGACATCCTAGCCCCAAGTTAGGGTAGGCAAAACGGACATGGAAAGAGGATTTGCAGAGAATACCCTGGGCAGCCAAGTTATCTGGGTAGGCAGCCAGCCAGGCAGGAAAGGGGTAGGAGGTCTCAGATCTTTGGCCTCCACCAAGTGGGGCTCCCGCGGCCCCTGAAGTAGAAGGGCTCACTGGTCTGGTGCCACAGTGAGATCCCCCAACTGGCTTCAATCCCCTATCACCTTTGCCCTGACATGGGAAAGGGGCACCTGAGAGGTAGTTACTGGGAAGGGGTCTTGGACAAGGAATGCTGCAGTGAGAGAGGAAAAGAGAAGAGAGATGTGTGATCAGTAGAAGAAAGCAGGGAGCTGCCTGGACTGGGGAGTAAGGGACATCAAGCAGGGGGATGTCAGTGCACACATAGGTAGATCGTACACAGGCAGGAGGGCGCCTGAGTAATAAAGAAAACAGCCTAAGCAACCTGCCCACCTCCTCTCCTTCCCATCAAATCCTTTCCCTAACACAGTGGTTAAGTACATGTCCAGAGCTGAAGAGGGGGTGGTCTCAGCCCCTGGTCCCACCCACAAAAGGCCCAGACCACCCCTTTCTCTCCAAATGACCCAACCACACACCTGCCAATACGGTCCGCAGAGCCCTGTACACTGCCACCTTCTGCTGGGGGTGACTGTAGGCATCCGATAGGACCACCTTGTCCAGCGAGGACTCCACAAACAGGTATGCACTGCCCACCCACTCCTGGATCCCATTCGGCTCAGCTGCCATCTTGTCTCCTAGAGGTGCAGACAAGCATCCAGATCAGCCCCAACCCAGCCCTAGAGACAACTGTCCAGTGTCACATGGCCCAGCTGTCCCCACCCAGTTGGCACACTTGTGAGGGGAAGTTCATCATCCCACAGGCAGCCCCAGGTGTGTCTGGCCCTGCACAGTGCAGCCCAGCTCAGCCCAAACTTGCAGTGAGGGCTCTCCCTCCACTGCCTTCTCAAAGAGCCCAGGGTCACAGTGGCAAGAGAGGAGAGGTCCTATCCTGTGGTGGAGGCAGAGAAGTTATGCCCCCCCTCCTCAGGTCAAGATGTCTCTTACCAAAGCATCCAGAAACATCTTCTTCCTGGATGATGCACATACCCCACAGCCAAATGAACAAACCCATGTCCTGGTGTGCCCTTAGCTTACATTGAACCCTCGGGATCCCTTAGGACCACAGTTCCCCTCTCCCACCACTTGCATTCATTCTGACTTCACTTCATGGATACCTGTAGTTTGTGCCTGCCCAGATTCTCTTCCCCGAACTTGACTGATCTAGGGGGACTTCTCTCTTCTCTCTTCCCTCTTCTCAATCCATGTGCCTGTTAAGAGGGTTAGCCCCACTCCCTAGCTCCAGGTGTGGGCATGTGAAACAGGTCTGGCCAATCTGCATATTCCATTCACCTTTCTAAAATGATCAGTTCAGAGTTGGGTAGATTCATGTTGGAACAAGCAACCCACAACTTTGGCTGAACCAGCAGGGAAGAGGCACTAGTTTCCCTTCCCTTGGGGCGGAGCTGGAAGGAAGGGGAGATGGCCCTCTTTTGCCACAGCTTGGGAAGAGCCTGACTGAGAATGAAACTGACAGGGAAGGAAACCGAGCCCAGAGACAGGGGGCTGCACTCCTAACCATGCTCTGCCCCTTGCCCTAGCTGCACCCTGGACTTTTCAGTTATGTGAGCTAAATCATGCCTTTTTGATTCCATTCTAAATTTAAATTCCTTTTTGATGTATTTCTAAAGTATAAATACTTGGAGCTGGGCTCTTATCTTATGTAACTCAAATTGTTCTATTACACATTCTTTCCCTGTTCAGAGAGGGCCAGGGCCCCTTGGTTCTAGTATCTCCTCCATCCACTAAGAAAATCCTAGCTCTAGACCAGGGGGGAAATTCCCAGCCTGGGAGCCCCTACCCTGTGCTGACCTTCAGTTCAGTGGCCTACTAGTTCCTGTGCCAGGAGGCCTGCCTCTTTCTTCCCACCTCACCTAAGGCAACATCCCACACTTATCCTACAAACAAGGTCTCAAGACCCCGCCTCGGGCCCCATCAGCCATACTTCTTTATTCTGTCTTCTTTGGCATGTATACATGGTGGGCTAGGAGCAGTGCTGAGCCCCAGCGGTGAGCACCCTGAATGGACTCTTTGCTCTGGGCGGACAGATGGGGTGGCCCTGGCTGGCATTCATTTGTTTACATGAGGGGCAGGGAACCTCAGAAGAGGGATGCTGGGAGGAGCCAGGATGAGCCAGGACCACAGCGTTGGACATTGTTGGGGAGGCTGCGTTTCAGATCTGCCCCACACCTTAACCAAAGAGTCGAGGCGGGGACAATAACTGGGCAGGGGTCATGCAGCGTCACCCAGACCTGGCAAGAAAAAATGCCGGGTGGTGGTCCTACTCTGGGTCTGAGGACAGGGGACAAGCCCTTTGAGCCTCCCTCCCCTGCACCCATATCCTTTTGGTAGAAAACATATCAATACTCATGCATTTACCCAAAACAATGGTCATGGAGATGGGAGATTTGGAGGATTTTAATTTTCATTGTATTTAGCAATATTCTACTTCATGTATAATAGATATATTTCCTTTGTGTTAAGAAGGCAAAATAATTTTTTTAGAAAGCAAAAAAAGAAAAAAGAAATAAAAAAAACAAAAACGGGGTGAGACCCTATAGGTGGCAAATGAGGCCAGGTAGGAAGACAAGTGGGGAGCCCTGGGGAAGTGGTCCAGGGGGGTAGAAGAGGGTAAAAACCTGCCCTGGAAACGTTCGTTTTTTCATGTCTTCTTAGTCCCCTGACTTGGGGGTGCTGACCCTATGGATGGATGTGGTTTCGCCCCAAAGAGTGGATGTGGGGGGCAGGACAGAACCAGAGTCTGCCCAGCAGGCCTTCCAGGAGGGCACTGGAAACCTGGAGTGGGACGGGAGGCGCTCCATCACAGTAACTAGGACTGGACAAATGGGAGAAGTCAAACAGGTCTGCCAGGGCCCTTGGCTCCCATGTCCCCTCTTGGGAACTCCTTCCTATGGTCCCTGCACAGAAGGCCCTCCTCAGGAAGCCCTGCGCCTCACCCTCTTGGAGTCCGCCTCTCTGGGCCAGGCTGGGTCCTGGAAACGTTTAGCTGGGCTAAGACTGAGGACACGTGGGTACCAACTCAAGAAAATACGCCCCTACCACCAGGGGCCAGCGTCCCATTAACACACCCTAACAGTCCCGAGGCAGCCCCACCTCCCGCAGGGTGGGCGGCGGCGGCCTGCGGATGCGCCCCCTTGAGGACCGAAATCCTGCGACTCCCAGAGCCCAGGCAGGCGTGCCCAGTACTCAGCTGCGCCGCTTCAGAGCCCTGGAGGGGAGCTCCCAAGCCTCTAGCCGGCCCACCCCCACGCAGGGATTTCGCACGCGCCACTGCCAAAGGCGGGCGAGAGGTCTCTGCTTACCAGCCCCTCCCCCTCACCTGCGGCCTCTCGAAAGCCCCTGAAAGCCCCCAACTGGGACAATACACCTGCGGGGACCAAGGTCCCGACCCTCTTTCCCACCTCTCACGGAAACAGACCCGTAGGCCGCGGCTACCCCTGGCCTAGGCGGCCGCAGAGGACAACTGTGCCGCGCCCGCGCTCCCGAACCAGCCTCCGCCTCCGTTCCCGCCGGCGCCGGGAAGCCCACCCACCGTCTGCACTAACCTGGCCCCTCGGCCCGGCCCGGCCCGGATTCCCGAGCCCGCCCGGCACCGCTGGATTCGCGCCGCTTCCGGGTGTGCGCGGAGCCCCGGGGCGGCTCCCCGGCCCGGGCCGCCCCGTCCGCCCGGCGTCCCGCCCCCCCGGCGTCCCGCGGCTGCGTCCAGCCCACTGTCCTCCACAGGAGCGCGAGCCCTCAGCCTCTGCGCAAAGCCCACCTGGTCGGTCGAGCAGGTAAGACACTGAGGTTAGACGCCAGGGCAAGCTGCCCGCATCAAGGGGCTGCGGGGACTCGTGGCGCTGGTGAGGCCGCAGCGCTCCGGTGAGAGCTGCTCCGCTTTCTCCCGCGGGAAACGGAGAGATCGACCAGGGGACGTTCCCTGGGGACCAGAATTTTCCGGTGTCTTCGGAGGGATCGAGCTCGACGACACTGACCTCTGCTACTTTCTGACATTCAGAATGCAGTGCGGGTGGGTCCCAGGTTCAAGTCCGACCGAGAGGGTACAGGATCTTCCGGGATACACATCCAGCAGGCACCGTCAGCCTGGAAAATGTGGGAACGTGGAAAACCGGCCAGTGGTACGAAACGTGTACGAAAACCCTCAAATACCTTAAATAAAATTGGTAATTTAAAAGAGGACGTACACTTTCCAACAAAGCCTGCGGGGGAAGGCCGCTCTCCGGCGTGGATCTGCGGAATCCCGGCTGACTCGAAACCAGCCAGCGGGAGCCCGGGCAGCAGGGGTCAAGATCGGAACTGGAGCCCAGAGCCCCTCGGGCCCCAGAGCCCCAAGCTTCATTGGAGGTACTCTGGGCGTCTTCCCTGGAGAGGTGGAGGGAAGGAAGGAACCTCCGCGCTCCGGGCGGACTCGGCGGTGCTCCACCCGCCGCCCCGCTTCCTGATTGGCTTACGGCCCCTGCCAATGAAAAGTCTGTTCTGCTGCGCCGACCCTATTAAACCCTATGGTCTCGCCAGTGACAGGCCGGGCTGGTACCGAGTTTCTCAACGGGGGTGGGGGGGTGGGGGCTGTGCAGTCGACCGGCGCTTGCTGAAATTCAGATTCCTGGACCCTCCTCTTTCCTCAGAGCCTGATTTAGCAGGTGGGGCCGCCGATTCTGTACTAGCATAAGTGTCCGAGTGATTCTAAGGTCCTGCAAGGGCCTTCCTGCAAGGGACCTTAGAAATGAGGGTCCCAGAAACCTTCATTTCAGTGGCCCTCCAGGGGGGCCCATCCTTCTCTAGTACTCAGGGTGGACGCTGGGAGGGAAACAGTTCAATTACCCCTGGAAGACTAACCTGGGTGTCTCTGAGTGTATACAGAGGCAGGGGGAGGTGAGGTGGGCTCTCTGAGCTGGAAGGGAGGACCCGGTCGTTTGGAGTCAGGGCCTGTGCAGCCAGCCACGCTCCGACTTCCCTAGGGAAGACTGTAGTAACTAGGAGAAAGAGCCGATGGCGCTGCCCAAAATCAGGGTGTTGGGCTTTACCAACTTTGGGCATAGGTCGTGGTTGCATTCCTTCTAATGCTGCATAAAATGGTGATTTTTATTCAACAAATGATAACAAACTGTGAAGGACAATCAGAAATCCTGTGGCATCCAGGGCGAACTTCATGGATCTCAGACCTGAGCAGTCGCTCAGGGTCCCACGCTTGCTTTAATAACTTGGTCAAATACTCTGCTGCCACTGACTTGAAATTCCTAATGATGTTTTGAACAAAGGGTGCAGCATTTTTATTTTTCAGTGGGCCCCATAAATTATGTAGCAGCTCCTGAGCCACAGGCATCTCCATAGTCTCTGGTGTTCCCTTCAACACTCTGGCTTTCCTGAACCCAGGGATGTCCCTCTCTCTCCAAGCCAGAGTTTCTGGCAGCAGTGGAACCCCCACCCCACGCCAGGCGATGGCTGAGCCTGGAGAGCGACTGCCGGAGGAGGTGCTGGCGCTCATCTTCCGCTACCTGCCCCTGAGGGACCGGGCTGCCGCTGCCAGGGTGTGCAGAGCCTGGGCTGCTGCTGCCACCTGCAGTGCTGTGTGGCATGACACGAACGTCAGGTAAGCCCCTTCCTCCTCTCCTTCCTCCTGTGGCCTTCCAGCAGAGTTGGAGGTTGGGGAGATTCAAGTGAGTCTCCCCACATTAAAAAATCATAATCATTACTAACATTTTTTTTGACTGCCTACTATGTACCAACCATTGTTCTAAGGGCCTTGCATATGTTAACAGACAGTATTATTGTCTCCACTGCACAGATAGGAAATTGAGGCAGAGAGAGCTCATCACTCTCTGCAAGTCACTCAGCTAGGGAGTGGCAGAGGCGGAATGTTAACTTGGCCATGCCCGTTTCCTTAGCGACCTCTGAGAAAGCCCAGTTCCTAAAATCCTGGCTCCTCCTTGCCAAGGTTTCAACTTCAAACGCCCCTCTAACGCAGGCGCGTTTGAAGTCCTCCAAAGGGACAGGGTGGAAGGGAATTCCGACCTAGCTTTAGAGGCTAGCTTGGGGTCACCAGACATGGCTGGAACTGGGAGGTGTGTGCTTGGGGAGCAGAAAGTGGGCGTAGTAGCTGGAACCCTGGCTGAGGGATGGGTAGAGGCTTCTCTTCTGCTAAAGGGGACACAACCGAGGCCTTTTCTCTACCTCTCTCACTCCAAGTTGCGACTGTGAGGGAGAAGGCACACTGCCACCGTATCTGTTCTCCTGCCTGGACCACGTTCACAACTTGAGACTGGAATTTGAGCCGTCGAAGGAGCGCAGCCGCCGGGTGGCCACGGAGCTGCTGACTGCACTGGCGGGCCGTACCCCAGGGCTTCGAGGCCTGCATTTGGAGTGCTGCGGAGAGAAGCCACTCTTCGACGCAGGGCGAGACGTCCTGGACGCTGTGCACACCATCTGCCGGGCTGCTCCAGCGCTGCGTCATCTTGACCTGCGGCGCTTGCCCTTCACTCTGGACGACGCACTGGTGCTGCAGGTGGCACACGGCTGCCCCGAGCTCCGCAGCCTTTTCCTGAACAACGGTACTCTGGTGGGCAGCGTGGGGCCGGGCTCCGTGCTCGAGCTACTAGAGGCCTGCCCGCGCCTACGCACCCTCGGCCTGCACCTGGCCAGCCTGTCACACCCCGCCCTCGAGGTGCTGGCGGCACCACACCGTGCGCCTTTCGAGCTCTTGGCTTTGCGGTGCGCCTGCCCAGAGGACGCACGCGCCCCGCCTCTGCCCAACGAAGCATGGGTTGCGTTGCGCCACCGCCACCCTGGACTGATTGTGGAAGCGGAATTAGAGCCAGCACTCTCTGATGAGAGCGTGACTCGTGTCCTGCAGCCTGCAATGCCAGTGGCTGCGCTGAGTCTCTGCCTCTCTGGAGACACTGTAGGTCCCGTGCGTTTTGCAGCGCTACACTATGCGGCAACCTTGCGGGTGCTCGAGGTGCGCGCTGCCGCCTCTGCGGAGCTGGATGCTACTCTGGAGTTGCTCGCAGCCCGCTGCCCGGGCCTTCGGGAAGTGCACTGCTTCTGCGTGGTGCGACCCTCTGTCTTGCACGCCTTCCGTGCGCATTGCCCGCGCCTGCGCAGCTACACGCTCAAACTAAAGCGGGAGCCACATCCTTGGAAGCCCACGCTTGTGGATTGAAGGGGCAAGCCCTCTCCCGCCCCTGCTTGCCCCCAGCAGGTGTGTGGCCTCTGTGATGCTGCGTGGGTTTGGCCAAGCGTGCTCCAACTGCTAACCTCGTCCTTCAGGACTCTGTGCCCTCTTGTGCCTCTCAGGGATAGCGAGAGGGAGGGGGGCGTTGCCCTGAATCCACCTGATGCTCTCAACTTCTGCAGACTCCGGATATCTCTTGATACCCTCCTCCAACGTCATTCCTCTGTGAACGCTGTGCTAGCTCCCGAGGCCCTGGAGTGGGGTGGGAGAAGAGGGCGCAGGTGCAGGCCAGGGGTGAGTGTGAAATAAATCCTGCAGTGTCTCAGCGTCCCGTGAAAGACCAGGTCGGCTCTAAAGGGGGATGGCAGGGATCCTAGAAGTCCGGAAAAGCCGTCCAGACAGGAGTGGGAGAGATCCAGACCTCGAGGTCCCTTGCGCTGATGCGGCTGCGGGAGTCAGGGGCGGGACACTCCAGGTCCTAGGAATGCTGACGAACTGATGCCCCAGGGTTCGGCGGGAGGGTGCGGGCTTCTCCTCCTCCCTCCCTCCACCACTCCTCTCCGGCCGTTCTGCCCAAGGCTTCACTGTGCCCATGGCCATTGCCTTCTAGGACTTTCCCAGCCCACCCCAGGCTGCGCACAGGCTATTTCTCGTGAAGAACAAGGGGAGAAACAGCGGGTCTGAGAAGGGTGAAACTGGAACCAAGGTATCCCTCCACCCCGCACCCCGGCACACATGTCCTATCCCAGCCTGCCCTTTCTGTTTGCTGTAGCCCTGGCCCCGGCTGAGCCCCGCCCCGCGGGTTTGCACGTGGCCCCCACCTGACCCAGCGCCGAGAGGCGGAGTAGAGTGGGGAGGGCGGCAAACACAGCGCTTTCCGTGGCTTTGACAAGCCCCCCGCGGCCCAGGCCAAGCGGTCAGCCTCCGAGACTACACCATGCAGGAAGCGCCAGCCACCCTGCCCGCAGAGCCGGGCCCCAGCCCCGTGCCTGCCTTCCTCGGCAAGCTATGGGCGCTGGTGGGCGACCCGAACACCGACCACCTGATCCGCTGGAGCCCGGTGAGGGCTGGGGCCCCTCGACTTCCCCAGTGGTACCCAGCATCCCTCCACGTCATTGAACACCCACTTCCACCCAGCCCCCGCCTGGGACGGGGCTGTGGGTCCCTCAGTTGAGCGGTCCAGGGTAGTTCAGCTCGGAGGGGTGTGCGCAGTGGGGATGAGGCAACTTCGTCGGGGCCGAGGAAAGAGTAGGAGCTTTCTGGAGAACTAAAGCCTGAAAGAGTTTTCGTGGTCACGTAGTTCTCACACCACCCCATCAGGCCGTTCGGAAAGCAGAGGCCAGAAAAGAAGGGCTGGGTCTGGTCCTAGCTCCGGGTCACATCGCGGGTCTGGAACCTGTCCCAGGCTCCAGGACTGAGCTTTGCATCTCTTTTCCGAGAACAGAGAGCGAGTCTGGGTCAGGCTGGAGTAGGGATTCGTCGTGACTCCCCCCCCCCCAGGCTAGACCTCAGAATTGGTTCTAGCCTGGCCCCCACCCCTGTGCCCCTGAGCGAAAGGCGGGGTCCCTAGAGTGACTGGGTGTGTGAGTGCCAGAGCGAGGACCAGGCCGTGGGCTCACGGTGCTGTCCGGTCTCCGCCCGCGTGGTGGGTGCGAGGGCTGTGTTCTCGGCAGGGCGGGACCAGTTTCCTCGTAAGTGACCAGAGCCGCTTCGCCAAGGAAGTGCTGCCCCAATACTTCAAGCATAGCAACATGGCGAGCTTTGTTCGGCAACTCAATATGTGTGAGTCCCTGAGGGGGGGGGGGGGCGGCGGGCGACTTGGTGCTCGGGGATGGGGCGACTCACAGCTCCACGCCCCACTCCCTAGATGGCTTTCGGAAGGTGGTGAGCATCGAACAGGGCGGCTTGCTCAGGCCCGAGCGCGACCACGTCGAGTTCCAGCACCCGAGCTTCTTGCGTGGCCGCGAGCAACTACTAGAGCGCGTGCGGCGCAAGGTGGGGCAGATTGCAGGAACCAGCAAACTCAGGTGCGGGTTTGGGGAGGCTGGCCATGTTTTATGTGACTCGGGCCAGACGGTGCTTCCCACGGCAGGTGCCTGCGCTGCGCGGCGACGACGGCCGCTGGCGCCCAGAGGACCTGGGCCGGCTGCTGGGCGAGGTGCAGGCTTTGCGGGGAGCGCAGGAGAGCACCGAGGAGCGGCTGCGCGAACTCAGGCAGTGCGGGGGTGGCCGGGGCGGGGAGTGGGGGCGGAGGAGGGTAGGGAAGGGGTGAGAGGACACTGGTTCTAGGCAGCTCCTTCTTCTCTCGTGCCTTGGCGCCCTCATCCAGACAAAATGCGCCAGGGCGTGGGACTTGGTTTTCTATGGATGGATGATCATCCAGGTGGCCGCAGGTTGGGGCCTGCCATTCAGTGGAAAGCGGCAACTGGGCAACTCTCAGATGCCTCAGCACCACGCCCCCACGCCTTCCCGCAGGCAAAATGAGATCCTGTGGCGAGAGGTGGTGACGTTGCGGCAGAGCCACGGTCGGCAGCACCGGGTCATTGGCAAGGTGTTCCTCTCCCCTTCCCCGCTTCCCTCTCCCACTGCTGAATACCCGCCTCCGCCCAGTCCTCTGGCCCATCGGAACTGCCTCCTGAGGATGGGGGCGAGGTCCAAAGGATGATTTAACGCTTTGCTTCCTCTTCAGCTGATCCAGTGTCTCTTTGGGCCGCATCAGACTGGGTCCAGCAGTGCAGGAGCTAAGAGAAAGCTGTGAGTGAGAAAGCTAGGACACTCACCTGCCCCTCCCGCACCCAGCATCATCCCTGCCTGAGGCCTCATCCAGGCACCCATTCATGAGGAATCCTCACCGCCCCCCCCACACACACACACACCAGTCTTCCTCACCCGGTGGCCATCTCCCCAGAAGCCCCCTTCCAGGACTTTCCCTCTCCCCCCCACCCAACTTCACCACCAAAATCCCCACTCTTTGATCCCTCAGTTACAGGACCTTATCCCCAAGTTTCTACCCCAGCAGCCTCTCCCCCCTCACCCCAAAGCATCCCAACATCAGAGGGTCTGGGGCTCAAACCATGCTCCCTCCTCCTCTCCACACCCAAAGGGCCCCCATCTCTGGGGGGAGCCCCTTCTGCCTTCAGCATGTGACTGATGCCCTGGCAACAGGCCTCAGCTCTGCTGACTTGGCGGCTCAGGCCTGTGGAGGGAGGTGGTGCAGACTGAGGGCCATGGGACATGAATCTGCCGGGCCCCAACCTGTGACCCCACCACTCTGCACAGGTCCCTGATGCTGGATGAGGGAAGCTCCTGCCCATCACCGGCCAAACTCAGTGCCTGCCCCCTCTCTGGTGCCCTCTTGCAGGACCCTTACTTTATCCAGCCAGTAAGTTTTACTTCTCCTCCCTTCCCTAGGGCACAGCTGGGCTTATGGGGAGCATATTCCTTTTCCCCATTCCTCCCCCAAAAAAGAGGAGATGGGCCCTGGCTGGTGTGGCTCAGTGGTTGGGTGCTGGCCTGTGAATCAAAGGGTCACTGGTTCAATTCCCAGTCTGGGCACAGACCTGGGTTGCAGGCAGCATCCCTGGTGGGGGCTGTGTAGGAGGCAACCACACATTGATGTTTCCCTCCCTCTCTTTCTCCTTCCTTTTCCCTCTCTCTAAAAATCAATAAATAAATACTTTTTAAAAGAGATGGAAGGCAGCCTTTCCCCCCTCCCCCCACACACATCAGACCAGGCTGCCCCACATGGGCTATCAAACTTCCCCCTAGACTTGGTCTGGGTGGGTCCTGGTTGGGCTCTGGCTCACTCTGCAGCTGAGGTGAAGGCTTGGGCCTACTCTTCTACTTCTAGCCCCTCCCAGAGACCACCTTGGGCGTCACCAGTCCTCACAGGGCCAGGGGCCCCATCATCTCTGACATCTCAGAAAACTTGCCGTCCCCTGAAGGGCCTGGGCTTTCTCCCCCCACCGGTGACAGGAGGTAAGAGGGGCAAACAGGCTCTGTCCTCTGGGGGTCTGTCGGGGAGAGCCTGGCGTCCCAGAGGGCTGTGGGGGTGTGGGAGAGGTTGGTGTCGGGGTCTGGTTGAAGCTTTTCTCTGGCACAGGGAGAAGGGCCTGGCATTGCTCAAGGAAGAGCCGGCCAGCCCCGGGGGGGAAGGCCAGGCCAGGCTGGCCCTGGCTCCAAACGAGTGTGACTTCTGCGTGACAGCCCCCCCACTGCTGCCTGTGGCTGTGGTGCAGGCCATTCTGGAAGAGAAAGGAAGCTTCAGCCCCGAGGGGCCCAGAAATGCCCAACAGCCTGAACCAAGGGGTCCCAGGGAGGTACCTGACAGGTGAGCAGAGAGCCCATTCTTGACTGTGATCCACTTTGGCAGTTAGACCAGCCCCAACTAGGCCCCCAAAACTTGCCTGCCCCTTGGTGGTGGAGGGGGCTGTTGGGTACTATGATATAACCTGATTTCTCAGAGTTGCTCTAAGGAGGGCCAGCATCAGAGGTCTTGGAGGGTGGAAACGTCTCTGTGGCAGGGCTCGGGCATCTGCATTTTGAACAAGCCCATGGGGGTGGTTGTGACGATTGTAAAGTACACAACAGTTTAAGAACCACTGGCACTGACAATTGCAGAGGGAGGGGACCCAGCTCTACTCTGACTTCAGGCCAGAGGCAGGAGGCAGAGGCGCTCTCATGCGCCCCTCTGTGTGTGTGTGGGGGGTCCTCTCTTAGCATTTTCTAGATATTGTCAGATTTGGGGATCCTGCCTGCTGCATCCAGATTCCTTGGGAACCTGATTGGGGCTGGGAGAGTTACTGCAGGCCAACACCAGTCCTCTGTGCACAGGGGGCCTCTGGGCCTGGAGAAGGGGGGGCAGTGCCCAGAGAGTCTCCAGCCTCCAATGCTACTTCGGCCCCAGCCTGAAAGTGTGGAGCCCGCAGGACCCCTGGATGTGAGTAAACTTTCCACAGGGCATGGGCCTTGATGGGGTCTGGTTGTCTGTGCAGCCTGGGAAAGGCATCATTGACCCAGAGTTCTCCCAGGTGCTGGGCCCCAGCCTCCAAGGGCAGGAATGGACCCTGATGGACTTGGACATGGAGCTGTCCCTGGTAAAATGGGGGTGGGGAGGGCAGGGGATTAGGGGTTGCTGGGACAAGCCCTTTGGTCCATAGTTGTTCTCTTTGAGCCAAAGCCCCAGCAGCTCCCTTCCCCAGCTGCTTCGTGGGGTTCTCCCATGCAGATGCAGCCCTTGATTCCACAGAAGAATGACACTGAGCTGGCAGTCAAGGGGTTAAATTCTCCAGGCCCAGGTAATGGTCAGGTCACAGTGACTGAGGACCTGGGGAAGGCCAGGTTTAGCCAGAGCTACCCTGATTAGGGGGGCTGGGCAGTTTGTGTTTGGGGGGACACCCCTTGAATTCAGACTACCCTGCAATGAGCTGCTTACGCCACCCTTCCCCTCACAACTGGGTCATAGTGGGGAGGTTGGGAATGGATCTTTCATCTTAGCTGATTAGAGAGCAAGGAGGGTGGGCTCTTTTTCCCTGAAGAAAGTGGGATGTTTCTCCCTGCTGAGCACAGCCCCACTCCTCCTAGGGAAGGCCTCCGCTCTTGGGGCACCATTCCTGCTGGACGTCCAAGCGGCTTTGGGAGGCCCAGCTCTCAGCCTGCCTGGAGCTTTAACCATTTACAGCGCTCCTGAGAGCCGGGCCCCCTCGCTGGGCCCGGGAGCTGACCCCTCCCCGTGACCTCTCTCCAGTCCGGAGCCTGCAGCCTTGTGCCCTTGTCTGCCTCCTAGCGCCCCCTGGCGGAGGCTGAGCGAAGACCCCGCTACCCCTTTCCACTACCAAGTTATGCATATAAACCGCATTTTTTCCTGTGTCTGGTCTCTTTTCTCTACCGACCGAAGAGCACAGAAGTCATGGGGGAAAAGGGGCGATTTTGCATTCGTAGAAGCGTTCAGGTCTTAGGGCTTTAATGAGGAATCCCCTGGAGAGTGGAATACTTGAGGAGCCTGCTCCTGGTTCTCCTGCTTAGGCCCGGATCCTCCCGCGGGATCGAGGGCTGGTGCCCGGCCACTGCACCCTCCCGGCAGTGAGGGCTTTGGGGGTCACCCAGCTCCGCAGTGAGTCCTCTCTGTGGTCCTGGGTAAGCTGGTCCCCTTCTCTGAGCCGTATCAGTGACAGATGAAGAGGGGTCGACGAGAGGATAGGAGTAAAGCGCCCGGGACTTGCCAGGTCCAGAGTGGGCGTCGGGCCCGTGAGCCTGCGGACCGCACTCCCTCCTCGCTGACTTACATTCCCCGCTGGAGGTGGGAGGGATAGCGGACTTGTGGTCCGAGCCCGGGCAATGCGCGGCCTCGGCTGTCGGCCTTCCTACGTGCGGAACAGAAAGCCCGCTCTCCCCCTACCTCCTCCCGGTTCCCGGCAGGCCTGGCTGCCCCGCCCCCTCCCCCGCCGCAGCTGCTGCTCCCATCCACCCCGCCCAGCCCTTTCTGCCTCGTCATCTCCTACCCTGCCGAGGCTCCACCGGTGAGTGGGGCCCTCCGAGCGCACCAGACCGGGAGCCCCACCCCGCCCGGCTGGGGGAGGGGAAAAAACTGAGATTAGGCGGAATCCGCGCCCCCACCAGCGGCGCTCCAAGGCCTGTGAGCCCCGCCCCTCCACAGGACTCCACTCTGGGACGGGCTGAAGGGGAGATCAGGGGAGCCTGTGGTCGCACCTGGGCAGAGGTTCCCGCAGTTTCCCGCACCTCTCGTTCCCTAGCAAAAGACCCCGCGGAAGCCAGGCGGGGAGGGGGGCCGAGACCCCCCTCCACGCCTCAAACTTGGAGCTGCCTGGTGCCCCAGGAAGGATCTGGCCCGTGACCCTTAAAGGACTGGCTGGGACATAACGTCGGTACGGTATCGACCTCTGAGCATTGAGTTTTGGAGGGCCCAGACTAGCTGGCGTTTCTGTACTCAAGAGGAGGAGGCTGACATAAAAATAACCTGGTTAAGAGCGAGGGAGAACTAGGGGGCCAATCCAATCTGCCCCCTCGTTCTCTGCACCTGCACACAAGTGGGTTCTGTCCCTTCCCCTCGCACCTGTGATTGGAGGACAGCCTTCGGAAGCCTCAGCTGAAGAGGGTCCAGGGTCTGCGTGTACAGGGTCAGCGGTGCTAGTCAGCGCAGTGCTGAGGGTGCGTGCCGTTCACCGGGGCACACAGGAGATGAGGCGGAGCCAGTCTGCCTAGGGCACATTCAGGCACTGGCGTGGTGGGGACATTTATTTGAGTCTTGGAGGATGGATCCACATCTTGAGAGAAGGGGAAGGGTATTTTCAGGCTTAAGGAACAGTATCTGCTGAGGTTCAGAAATGCCAGGGGCATAGCGAGTTCTCCTGGCACTGAGGGTTGGGGCAGTGTGGGAAGCCCTGGGTGTCCAGGAGGTGTGGGGGAGCAGCCAGCGAGCCAGGCTGAATTCTCTCTGATGGGCAGGGAGGAGAAGGGCACAGGCAGTCAGGGCTGACATTCTGCTTGTCAGGAGACCTCATTTTAGTTCAGGTTGGAGCAAGTCAGATCCTGGTTCCGGCACTTGGTCTCGCCAAGACTGTCTTCTCATGTGCAAAATGGGGACAATGAACCCTGCCCCAGAGTTGTCAAAAATCACTGTGTTGTGGGGGTGATGAGACGGGAGTGAGAGGTATTCAGAGAGGCTATCGGCGGAGATGGGGTGAGGATGGTGTGGTTGTGGGGGGCTGCTGATGGGGCCTCACTGAAAGGTGGAAGAGCAGCATTTGTCACAGATGGGACAGGAATGGAGAAAAAGGGGCAAGGGGCGATCCTGGTCTCGATCAGCAACCTGCCTGTGGGAAGAGTTGATGCTTCACTGTGGCCAGGAGGGGTGAAATGACCAGGGAGGCATCGCATCATACCAGGTGGCAATGAAGGACCTGGAAGGCAGGAGGGCGTTAGGACCAAATCTGCTCTCCCAAACCTGGGGCCAGGTAAGGAGAGAAAGGAGAAATCCCAAAGGGAGGGCAGGACCGGACGGTGCCAAGTGGACAAAACTAAGGCTGGAGGAAATGGACTAAGAGAGGGTGTGGTCCAGGGCCCCGCCCCTGCCCCTTGATGCCAGGGGCCCGGCTGCCTGGGTCAGGACATCCAAGAGGGGAGGAGCCATTGTCCTTAGATGTCAATAAGTGGGCAAAGCCGATCAATTCCTGGTTGGTAGAGGCAGTGTCTCAAAACGGAAGGCTCCATGGAGGAAACAGTTAGAGTTCAGCAAGCATTTGGAAATACATTGTTGGGAGCTTTTTTGAGTTGGGCTGTGGGCACTTCAAGAGGAAGCAAGAGACGGCTGTGAGTCATTCCCAGAGCAGCAGGGAGACGGTTGGTTCTCAGGTAACGTCGGGAGCACTTGGTGAGAGAGAGCTAGGACTAAAGAGAATTCAGGTAACCCTGTTCAGGCATCAGGGGACCAGAAAGGGCCCTGAGACCGCCCGGGGTTGCAACATGGTGGCGGCACTGGTGCGGATGCAGTGGTAGGTCCTGTCCTGGAAAAATGTATCTCAGGTCAGGATAAGGGGTGTGAGGAGCAGGGAAGGACTCTGAGTTTTGTGCTCCAGCTGCAGAGGGGATTCAGGGCTCTGCAGAGTCTAAGCCGGAGGTGAAAGCCTGGACTCCGAAAGTAGTGAGGCTGACATAGAAGTATTCAGCAGACAGACCGGAAAAGGACTGGACTGCAAGCCAGGTTTGGGGTCTTTGCCTGTTAAGGCAGGAAGCAGGTTTGGGAAAGAAAAGTTAGTTTGGATAAACTGGGTCTGAACAAATCACAGAATCTGCAGGCAACTGGGATTCAGGATGGGGCCTAGTTGGGGACAGGAGTCAGAGTAGATAAGGGTCCTGAGAGGGGAGGGGAGGAGGAGGAGACAGCACAGAACCGATGGGAGAGGCGGGAGTACGGAGTCCGGTGCTGCGGAGCTGTCCTGCTCCCGGGGTCGAGGTGAACTTAGACCCCAGGCACGAGTGTTCACTGGAGCCCTGGGAGAGAGGCCAAGGGCAGGGAGGCCCCAGCCCCGGTACCTGTCTCCCCCTCCCGCAGGCACCCCCCACAATGGGCAACGCGCAGGAGAGACCGTCAGAGACTATCGACCGGGAGCGGAAACGCCTGGTAGAGACGCTGCAGGCAGACTCTGGGCTGCTGCTGGATGCGCTGCTGGCACGGGGCGTGCTCACCGGACCCGAGTATGAGGCGTTGGATGCGCTGCCGGATGCCGAGCGCAGGGTGCGCCGCTTGCTGCTGGTGGTGCAGAGCAAGGGCGAGGCCGCCTGCCAGGAACTGCTGCACTGCGCCCAGCGCACTGCACGCGCACCTGACCCTGCCTGGGACTGGCAGCACGTGGGCACTGGTGAGAGTGCGCGGGGCGGAGCCTAGGTCAGAGTAGGGGGCCTGATGGGGGCGGAGTCCCAGCCTCCCCTAGAGGTGGGAGTGTGCAGAGGAAACTGCAAAGGGGCTATTTGAGCTTGAGACACTCCCACCCCCTCCCCAGGATACCGGGAACGCAGCTACGACCCTCCGTGCCCAGGCCACTGGACACCTGAGGCAGCCGGCTCGGGGACCCCATGTCCTGGGCTGCCCAGAGCTTCACATTGCGATGAGGCCGGGGGTCCAGAGAGCTCCGAGGCAGTGCAATCCGGAACCCCGGAGGAGCCCCAGACAGAGCTAGAAACTGAGGCTTCTGAAGGGGCAGAGCCGGAGATGGAAGGGCAAATGGATCCGGAACCAGAGGCAGAACCAGAGCCTGAGCCCGAACCAGAGCTGGACCCGGATCCTGAACCCGAGCCTGAGCCGGAGCCAGACTACGAGGGAGGAGATGAATCTGAAGGTGGTCGGCTGCACAAACCCGGTGACAAGTGGGTGGGAGGTTGTGGCCCAGAAGGCAGAGGGCAAGCCCCAGCTGACCAACCACTCCTCCTTCATCTCTAGATTCCTGAAGGCCAGAGTGCTGACAGGCCACTCCCCATGAAAGCCGAACAGGACCCAGGACCCTGCCAGGGTGGAGTTGGATCGCCACCAAGGCTCCGCCTGGCCCGGTATTCACTGGAAGGGAATAAACTCTGGAGGGTCGGTCTGGGCTCTCTGGGATTCTGGCCCAGAAATAAAGGTGACCTGGGCAGTCCTGTGCCCCATCACTCAGCCCCATTTTGTCAACAGCTTAAGCTGCACCCCTGGAGACCCAAGACCCAGGCACCCAGTGCCATAAGGGTCTGATCTGGGCCCTTTTATCTTGCTAAACCATTTGAGGGCATGTGTTGTCACCAGCGCTACTCCACGGACGCCCCTGGACCTGGCCGCAGAAAGCCAGGGAAGGAGAATCTCTTTCCACTTAGGAAGGCTGGAGCCAACAGCCTTGGGAAACGAAGCTAGGAGAGAGGAAGAAGAAAGGATCTTGGGCAGATAAAGACCACGCACCTTATTGTAATGGTTGTTTTAATTGTCTGGCTTCTCGCGGGACTGGGAGCTCAGTGAAGGTTTGACCAGTAACTGGCACACAGAAGTCAACCTGTGCGTATTCACTAACTAGATGAATAAGGACTTTCTGGCTGCATTTCCAAATTTTACAGATGAAAAAACTAAGGCCAAGGGTGGGAGTGGGACTGGGTCAACCTCACCAGCCGAGTCGGGGGTGGAACTGGAAGCAACAACCATCTCTGTACCTCCTGGTCCAGAGAGCTCTGGACTTGGGACAACCAGGGGCCCACCCCTCAGGCTTGACTGTGGCTGCTGCCAGGCTGTGACAACCTCTGTCAGACCCACTGTGGGGGTGTTGGCAAACATGGGGACAGCAGAGGTCCCCGGAGGGGGTCGGTGGGGGGAGGCAGGGCCAGATGAGCTCCAGGGCTCAACTCACAAAGCCGAAAGGACTCTGTGTGTGTGTGTGTGTGTGTGTGTGTGTGTGTGTGTGTGTGTGTGGGAGAGAGAGAGAGAGAGAGAGAGAGATACAACCGGGGCTAGGAACATGGGTGCCTTCCAAAGGAGCCCTGTTCCCTCCCCTGAACCTTCGGACACTACTGCCTCCCAGCCTCAGGAAGTAGAGCATTTAAACAGAGAATAAATAACTTGAGCAGTGGGACAGGCAAAATCCTGGAAAACACATCCCAGCCCAGCTGGGTCTCTAACTGTCAGGACCCTTGCCCCTTGAGTCTGCGTGAAAGCAAGGACCCCAGGCTCAGGTAATTGCCTGAGGAGAAGGGAGACCCCCACCAGGACCCAGTGAGAGGTAGACAGCGTGAAAGCTGAAAGGAGCACCAAGGGGCCAGGTGGAGGGAGGGAGACTGGAGTATGCAGACACCCAAAAGCCACCTCATGCAAGAACAAGTTTCTGCTCCCAAGCCAACCCACCCCCAATCCCATCCATGCTCAACTTCTCTGCTGCCCCAGGCTTCCCTCTGCTCAACAGACAGGTAGGAGAGCAGACAGCATTTGTCCAATGTACTGGTCTCCGGGTCTCAGGGAGGCCAGCAAGGGAAACAAACCCACTGACCTTGCCGCTCCTCCCTCCTGAGATGCTCTGCCCTCCCACCTTCCCCAAGAAACACCCAGGCCGTGGAAGCACAGAGCAGCCATCTTTGTGTTCCGGGGGATGACTCGGAACCCTCACCCGACATCAGTCAGGCAGCAGGCGGCCCAGCTCTGCCTCGTCCAACCGGTTGGTGGCCATGATGTGCTCCAGCTGCTGCCGGTAGCGCGCCAGGTCCTGCATGAAGTGGGGCACCCGAGTATTGTCCAGTACCCCATGGGGACGCAGGTGGTCTACATCTTCATAGGACACCTGCAGGGAGGAAGCTGGGCCTGAGGGGCGGGCGGAGGTCCTGGCTTGGCTGATCCCAGCTTTCTACCAGTCACCACTCATTGCCTTGTGCTCCTGGCACATCCTGCTTTCCCTCCTGATCCACCCCTAGTGTTATGTACCCTGAGGCTCAGTCCTGGGAGTTCGCTCTTCCCCTCAACACTGTGTTACATCGGCTGTGCCCTACCTGTCTCCAGCCCAGCTCCCCCCACCTCTAAACCTGAGGATCCAATCGCCTGCTGACCACCTTCTCCTGAGTAGCTCGCAGGCACTTCAGACTCCCTGTGTCCGGCTCTGAGCTCCTGGGTGTCAGACTGTGCCAGCCACTCTCCTGACAGTTCCCTAGGCTAGATTCCAGGGAGGAGACTGGAATCTGTCACCCTCCCGCCCAGGGTGGCCGCTGAACTCAAGGGATTCCCCTCCCCGAAGAGCTCTCCAGCCCGCCCCTCGCAAGCTGCGCAGCCCCTGCTCAGAGAGGCCGGGTGGCCGCCAGTGCTGCGGGAGTGGTTAGAAAGGCCTCCTCCTCTCAGTGGACTGAGCACCAGCCAGCAAACAAAAGGTGGCTGGTTCGAGTCTCATCCAGGGCACGTGCCTGGGTTGTGGGCCAGGTCCCCAGTTGGGGGAGCGGGATAGGCAGTGGGTCCATGTTTCTCTCCTCTTTCTCCCTCCTTTTCCCTCTCTCTTTAAGTAGATAGATATTTTTTAAAAAGCCCTCCTCCTCTCCCCCCTGCACTCCCCTCCCTAGGCCGCTCTCTCCCGACCCACCTCCCAGGTGACACCCAGAGGGAGGCTTCCAAAGGAAGCGTCTGTACCACTCCTCTGCCTCAAACTCCTCTGATTCCCCATGGCTTGGGGCGTTTACCTCTCTCAGCCTGGCATAAACACCCAGTGCCAGGGACTTGGTCCCTGGCCGTCTTCCAGCCTCCATCTCTAGGCCGCCCCGACCGCTCTCGTGGTTTGGAACACCAGCTCCTTTGAGATGCAGTACCTGCACAGGCGCGTCTGCAGGCTGGGCCCGGCACCTGCCCGCCTGTCACTTCACCTGTGCTCACCTCCCCAGGCCAGAGGGGCCTGGCACCCTGCCGCCTCAGGGAATACTGCGAGGAAGAGAAGAGTTGGGTGGGATCTCTGACGGCCCGTGGCCACTCACCTTGCCCAGCGAGGTAAGCAGCGGGAAATCGATGGTCTGGCGGTGCCGCAGAATGCGCACAATGCCATCCAGATACACCTGGTCCTTGCTGAAGCAGCCTGTGGGCACAGGAAGGCCGTGAGCTCCTACACCTGAAGCCACCCCTGCCCCTGCCCCAGTTCAGGGTACTTCTCACGCGGGTACCCACCCGGCAGCGAGGTGTCAGTCTGACCGCGCTTGGCGCGCACGCAGTACTCCCAGCGCACGTCGGCGTCCTGCACGTAGCGTGCCAGGTCCTGGAAGAGCTGGCGGAAAGACATGTGTGCGGCTCGGTAGATGGTGTAGTAGAGCAGCGCTGCGCGCCACAGGAAAGGCTGCTTGCGGAACAGCACGCTGTGCAGGCTGGCCAGGCCCTCCTCGGTGGGATTCGCGGGCCGCAGCCCGTACTGCAGCCGGCCCTCGGCGCTGTGCCAGGGCTGCCGCGCATTGTTCACGCCTCGCAGGTAGTGGGTGCCTGTGGGAGGACGAGGGAAGCGGCGATGGGTGGGTCATCTGGGGACCCGTGTGCCCGACCTCTAACCAATACTCATGCGTGCGTGTATCCTTGTGTCCCTAAATTCCGGCTCTCACGTAAGCTTTCCCTACCACCCCACCCAAGCCTCAAGTCTCAAGTGAGCCCACACCCAAGGGCCCAGAGAGTCTCACACACAAGAATCCTCCCCCACTCATCCAGGGCTACACACACCCCCCCCCAAACACACTGCTCCCCAGCCCCCCGGAGAGGAGCAGAAACTCACACACCACTCCACCTCCACATCCTTCAGCCCACATCATTTTGACAGTCACGCCTGTGTCCCTAGCAACAAACCACCTTTGCCCAGAGCAACAGGATCCTTGATGAGGAGGGACAGACAGAAAAGAATAGTAACAGCGTTTTTACTATTCCTGTCTAGTCTGATCTATCCCCAGCTCTGGGTGTCCTCAGCCAACTCCATTCCCACCCTGGAGGGCCTGCACGTTGGCTGGGCTAGTGGGACCCTCAGGGTTCTCCCTCTGGCCTGTCCCAACCGTCAAGGGAGATCAGAGAGGAAGTGGAGGGGGGAAAAGACCACAGAGGAGTGAGAGATGAGGGCGAGCCCAGAGAGCGGGCAGGCATGTTGGGGCTACCTCTGTGAGCCAGAGAGAGGGGGCGACTGGTCGTGAAGGGAAAAGGCCCATCCTCGGAAGCAAGTGGGAGAGAGGGGAAGGGTTACGGGGGCCCCTCACTGTCCCCCCACATCCCAACCCCCTCTCATCCCTTCCCACTTGCCCATCTCCCCACACCCTGACCTATCTCGTGCCGCAGCATGCCCTCCAGCCAATACTGACGGGCTCCGGTCAGGTTGATGGCCAGTGTCGGTCGGCTGTTCTCCACCATCATCACTGCCTGGGACAGCAGGTCTTCGCTCAGCTGCACCACAACCTGCGGCAGGAGCAGTGCCCTGAGCCATGGCCACCAGCCCTGGGGCCGGTGTGCAGGTGTACCCACTAATGATGCCACAGGACATCCAGGCCGAACCATCTCTGCTCAGAGCCAGCTCCCACCTTACTAGGGCAGGGACAGGGCTGGCCAGGGGTCACTAGCTGGCCAGGTGTGGAGCTGGGCCTGGCACCACCCACTGGGTAGCCGAGCTTGGGTCATGAAGAACAGAGTCCTCACAGGCGGGGCAAGCTCACCTCCCCAACGCAGCCCTCCTTCTGCATGTATTTGCGCACGACGGACCAGATCTGGCATTTGGTCAGCAGCTGGCCCCCAGTCACAGCCTCAAAGTGTTCATAGGTACCGAACTTCTCCAGGACAGCCTCAATGATGCCAACTGCCTGAACACAGGGCCGCCGCAGTTGGTCAGGCCGGGCCTCTCGGGAGGGTCAGGGCCAGGGAGAGGTGGGCGGGCTGGACTGACCTGATGGATGAACTGGCCAGAGGCCTCACAGTACTTCTCCAGCACAGCTGTGGGCATGGGCTCCTGGTATTCAAACTGCGGGTTGTAGGTGTAATGGGACTGGAAGAACTTGTCCCGCTCACGGTCCATGTTTGTTGGCCTCAGGGCCACCAACATGCAGGGGCTCCTGCTGGCACCGTGGCCTCCATCCTTTCGAGTCTTAGCAATGTGAGGCAGGGAGGCTGCAGACTTCAGGGTGCCCCCGCCCGGATCCCGTCCTCGTCCAGGTGG